CATTTGGGTCCGGAAGGGGGGGGGGGGTAATTCAAAGGTCAAAGTCTAGGTCAACGTCTAAGGAAGCCTATGCCTAGTGCCCTACTGTCTACACCTATTGAATAAGAACCCGTGCCTTTGGATATAACTGGCAGGTATAAAAGCCTGATCCTATGGAGAGGTCTTTTAAAAAAGGGGGGTCGGTCATTTTTGGTGCCAGATTTTCAGTGTGGGATTTTTAGTGTTGGACAGTCAGGGACATTTGGTCACTGGGGCATTTGGTCACTGGGACATTTGGTCATTGGGACAATTGATCATTGGGACAATTGATCACTGGACAATTGATCATTGGGACAATTGATCACTGGCCAATTGATCATTGGACATTTGGTCACTGGGACAATTGATCACTTGACAATTGATCATTGGGACAATTGATCATTCGACATTTGGGTCCGGAAGGGGGGGGGGGTAATTCAAAGGTCAAAGTCTAGGTCAACGTCTAAGGAAGCCTATGCCTAGTGCCCTACTGTCTACACCTATTGAATAAGAACCCGTGCCTTTGGATATAACTGGCAGGTATGAAAGCCTGAACCTGTGGAGAGGGTTTTTAAAAAAGGGGGGTCGGTCATTTTTGGTGCCAGATTTTCAGTGTGGGATTTTTAGTGTGGGACAGTCAGGGACAATTGATCACTGGACATTTGGTCCAGGGACAATTGATCACTGGACATTTGATCACTGGACATTTGGTCACTGGACATTTGGTCACTGGGACAATTGATCACTGGACATTTGGTCACTGGGACAATTGATCACTGGACATTTGGTCATTGGACATTTGGTCATTGGACAATTGATCATTGGGACAATTGGTCACTGGACATTTGGTTCATGAAGGGGGGGGGGGGTAATTCAAAGTCTAGGTCAACGTCTAAGGAAGCCTATGCCTAGTGCCCTACTGTCTACACCTATTGAATAAGAACCCGTGCCTTTGGATATAACTGGCAGGTATAAAAGCCTGATCCTATGGAGAGGTCTTTTAAAAAAGGGGGTCGGTCATTTTTGGTGCCAGATTTTCAGTGTGGGATTTTTAGTGTTGGACAGTCAGGGACATTTGGTCACTGGGGCATTTGGTCACTGGGACATTTGGTCATTGGGACAATTGATCATTGGGACAATTGATCACTGGACAATTGATCATTGGGACAATTGATCACTGGCCAATTGATCATTGGACATTTGGTCACTGGGACAATTGATCACTTGACAATTGATCATTGGGACAATTGATCATTCGACATTTGGGTCCGGAAGGGGGGGGGGGGGTAATTCAAAGGTCAAAGTCTAGGTCAACGTCTAAGGAAGCCTATGCCTAGTGCCCTACTGTCTACACCTATTGAATAAGAACCCGTGCCTTTGGATATAACTGGCAGGTATGAAAGCCTGAACCTGTGGAGAGGGTTTTTAAAAAAGGGGGGTCGGTCATTTTTGGTGCCAGATTTTCAGTGTGGGATTTTTAGTGTGGGACAGTCAGGGACAATTGATCACTGGACATTTGGTCCAGGGACAATTGATCACTGGACATTTGATCACTGGACATTTGGTCACTGGACATTTGGTCACTGGGACAATTGATCACTGGACATTTGGTCACTGGGACAATTGATCACTGGACATTTGGTCATTGGACATTTGGTCATTGGACAATTGATCATTGGGACAATTGGTCACTGGACATTTGGTTCATGAAGGGGGGGGGGGTAATTCAAAGTCTAGGTCAACGTCTAAGGAAGCCTATGCCTAGTGCCCTACTGTCTACACCTATTGAATAAGAACCCGTGCCTTTGGATATAACTGGCAGGTATAAAAGCCTGATCCTATGGAGAGGTCTTTTAAAAAAGGGGGGTCGGTCATTTTTGGTGCCAGATTTTCAGTGTGGGATTTTTAGTGTTGGACAGTCAGGGACATTTGGTCACTGGGGCATTTGGTCACTGGGACATTTGGTCATTGGGACAATTGATCATTGGGACAATTGATCACTGGACAATTGATCATTGGGACAATTGATCACTGGCCAATTGATCATTGGACATTTGGTCACTGGGACAATTGATCACTTGACAATTGATCATTGGGACAATTGATCATTCGACATTTGGGTCCGGAAGGGGGGGGGGGTAATTCAAAGGTCAAAGTCTAGGTCAACGTCTAAGGAAGCCTATGCCTAGTGCCCTACTGTCTACACCTATTGAATAAGAACCCGTGCCTTTGGATATAACTGGCAGGTATGAAAGCCTGAACCTGTGGAGAGGGTTTTTAAAAAAGGGGGGTCGGTCATTTTTGGTGCCAGATTTTCAGTGTGGGATTTTTAGTGTGGGACAGTCAGGGACAATTGATCACTGGACATTTGGTCCAGGGACAATTGATCACTGGACATTTGATCACTGGACATTTGGTCACTGGACATTTGGTCACTGGGACAATTGATCACTGGACATTTGGTCACTGGGACAATTGATCACTGGACATTTGGTCATTGGACATTTGGTCATTGGACAATTGATCATTGGGACAATTGGTCACTGGACATTTGGTTCATGAAGGGGGGGGGGGGGTAATTCAAAGTCTAGGTCAACGTCTAAGGAAGCCTATGCCTAGTGCCCTACTGTCTACACCTATTGAATAAGAACCCGTGCCTTTGGATATAACTGGCAGGTATAAAAGCCTGATCCTATGGAGAGGTCTTTTAAAAAAGGGGGGTCGGTCATTTTTGGTGCCAGATTTTCAGTGTGGGATTTTTAGTGTTGGACAGTCAGGGACATTTGGTCACTGGGGCATTTGGTCACTGGGACATTTGGTCATTGGGACAATTGATCATTGGGACAATTGATCACTGGACAATTGATCATTGGGACAATTGATCACTGGCCAATTGATCATTGGACATTTGGTCACTGGGACAATTGATCACTTGACAATTGATCATTGGGACAATTGATCATTCGACATTTGGGTCCGGAAGGGGGGGGGTAATTCAAAGGTCAAAGTCTAGGTCAACGTCTAAGGAAGCCTATGCCTAGTGCCCTACTGTCTACACCTATTGAATAAGAACCCGTGCCTTTGGATATAACTCGGAGGTATGAAAGCCTGATCCTATGGAGAGGTCTTTTAAAAAAGGGGGGTCGGTCATTTTTGGTGCCAGATTTTCAGTGTGGGATTTTTAGTGTGGGACAGTCAGGGACAATTGATCACTGGACATTTGGTCCAGGGACAATTGATCACTGGACATTTGATCACTGGACATTTGGTCACTGGACATTTGGTCACTGGGACAATTGATCACTGGACATTTGGTCACTGGGACAATTGATCACTGGACATTTGGTCATTGGACATTTGGTCATTGGACAATTGATCATTGGGACAATTGGTCACTGGACATTTGGTTCATGAAGGGGGGGGGGGGGGTAATTCAAAGTCTAGGTCAACGTCTAAGGAAGCCTATGCCTAGTGCCCTACTGTCTACACCTATTGAATAAGAACCCGTGCCTTTGGATATAACTGGCAGGTATAAAAGCCTGATCCTATGGAGAGGTCTTTTAAAAAAGGGGGGTCGGTCATTTTTGGTGCCAGATTTTCAGTGTGGGATTTTTAGTGTTGGACAGTCAGGGACATTTGGTCACTGGGGCATTTGGTCACTGGGACATTTGGTCATTGGGACAATTGATCATTGGGACAATTGATCACTGGACAATTGATCATTGGGACAATTGATCACTGGCCAATTGATCATTGGACATTTGGTCACTGGGACAATTGATCACTTGACAATTGATCATTGGGACAATTGATCATTCGACATTTGGGTCCGGAAGGGGGGGGGGGGGTAATTCAAAGGTCAAAGTCTAGGTCAACGTCTAAGGAAGCCTATGCCTAGTGCCCTACTGTCTACACCTATTGAATAAGAACCCGTGCCTTTGGATATAACTGGCAGGTATGAAAGCCTGAACCTGTGGAGAGGGTTTTTAAAAAAGGGGGGTCGGTCATTTTTGGTGCCAGATTTTCAGTGTGGGATTTTTAGTGTGGGACAGTCAGGGACAATTGATCACTGGACATTTGGTCCAGGGACAATTGATCACTGGACATTTGATCACTGGACATTTGGTCACTGGACATTTGGTCACTGGGACAATTGATCACTGGACATTTGGTCACTGGGACAATTGATCACTGGACATTTGGTCATTGGACATTTGGTCATTGGACAATTGATCATTGGGACAATTGGTCACTGGACATTTGGTTCATGAAGGGGGGGGGGTAATTCAAAGTCTAGGTCAACGTCTAAGGAAGCCTATGCCTAGTGCCCTACTGTCTACACCTATTGAATAAGAACCCGTGCCTTTGGATATAACTGGCAGGTATGAAAGCCTCGTCTGGAATTCATCTGGGAGTTTCGTTCGAAAAAAAGTTCGAATTTTTAGAAAAAAGAGGTTGTCTTGTTGGATTGTTTTGGAGTTTAGGAGTATCTGAAGCTCTCGGAGCTTGGAAGAGTTGGGTAAACCCGGAATAGGGAGAGGGGAGCCCACCCAAACCCATGTTTAACCAATAAAAAAATTATGTGATAAAAAAATACCACTTGTAAAGAAAAGGCCTTTTTGCTTTCTTCTAAACGAATCCGCAAAAATCCTTTTTTTACAAGTGGCTTAATTGTGCTTTTCCGTTTTTGCATCTAATTGTAAGAATTCTGCTGTTTGATAACATTTTGTACTTAAAAAAATAAAACAAAAAATTCGACGCAAACGGAAAAGCACTAAAAATAATAAAAACATTTCATTCAAATATCATTTAGACCTTAAAATGTGGCGGAAGCATCTTTGCCACATTTTTAAGCTTCTCTCGTCTTTGAAATTCATCATCAATTTGTTGCAGTCCAATGCTCATAGAACACTTCTCGCAATAACATTTTGTCTTGCTGTAGCTGTTGAAGTTCCAGAGCCATCAGATAACATCCACTAGCCCCACTCGTTCGACGAACAGTGGTGATTTAGTTGTCTGAAGGTTTGTTAGAAGAACATACTTCTCACGTGGAACTTGCTAAAATTTATTTATTAATAGAATCCAACAAAAATTAAAACATACACTGAAAACTAAATCTTTAGTTTGGTGCTTTCGAGTCGATCCATCTGCTTTCGGAATTGAGAATAACGGAACATTAAGGGAACAAACTTTAATATAAGGAATTAAATTAGGCGTATAAAAAATTAAAAAAACCTCCAGTTTTATGAATAAGAACAGAATGAGAAGAATCACCACCTAACCATTTAGTGATATCGTCATGGAAATTCTAAAAAAAATTTTAAAATTGATATTAGCAAGGACGTTCGGGGAAGGGGGCGGACCCACTTCGGGAAAGAGGGGAGCTTTAGCCCCAGAAGCCCCCCTAGCTACGTTCCTTAATATTAGTTAAAAAATACCTTTGCAACAAATGAAATAGTTCGATTCCATCGCCAATCGACTTTTGAAATGCATTGAAAACCGGAGGACTCAGTTTTTTCGAACCAACATCATTTGTAGCAGTACATATTTCCATTGCATCAGAACTGGTAGCCTCGTGAGTAGAGGACGACTCGATTTGTTGAGAGCCATCATCACCGAATAGACGATTTTGTAAATCAGCATAGGACAATGGAGGCTGAGAAAGGCTATGATGAGCAGGGAATTTAACACCATGTTCCAGCGCAATACGCTGAAAACGAAAAAGGAAATAAAACAAAAAAGGAAGTTATAAAAGAAACCCGATGCACAGATCTTGTACGATAAGATGGAGGAAGAGCAAATAATACATCACGTTCCGCGTCAGAATTGAGTAGATAAGGACGGGCAGAAAGCGGCAAAACATCAGCTGCCGTATATGTAAATGCATGATGTTTGACAGCATCACTAAAAATATGTAGATAAATATCAATAGAATAAACAAAAATAAATAACCTCAATGTTGAATATGAAATTGAATCGGAGCGTTTGAAAAACGACGAAGTTTACTCTTCTTTTGCTCCTCATTCTCGTGTTGTCGTATTTCAGAATTTCCTCTTGTTGCTCGACTAATCTTGACTGGTGGGACAACTGACTTGGCCTGATTGGTCGATAAAGCAAATATGGAAAAGATAAGATTCAATGATGAAAGCCAAATCTCTGTGTGCATTAAGTTAAAGCACGACCAAATCGTCGCCTAAAAAAATTAAAAAGTAAAATTGACTTATAAAAATAAAAACCATTTCTGCCGAATAGCTTCGCATTTTCTTGACGACGTCGACTTTGCTCAGAGATTGTTCTTTCACGAGCACTAAATGAAGTAATGAAGTTTTCACGAGTTCTAGAAATTGTTGCTGGCGCATCCAAATCTTCTTCATCGTCATCATCTTCATCTAATTCAAGAAAAAATAAAAATAATAAACTGATAAAAAATATATACTTGACATATCATCGTCGCTAGTACGCTCCAATGCCATATCTGTTGCTTGACTAGTATCATCCCGTCGTAAATCAGCCGACTGTATAATACGTGCATTGTTTGCTACCCCAGTAGACGTTTCATTGCGATCACCACTTTGCATTGAGATACGAATTAATGAACAAATCTTGCTTGTTGGTCAAGTGTTGCTGTAAAACTTCCAAAACATCCTCATTTGAGACAATGCTGGCTGAAGGTTTAACGATTCCAAGACGAATTGGAGAAATTAAAGCATCGGTGATTCCAATCAATTCAAGCAAAGAATAACTGATTAACGCCTAGAAATTTGTTTAAAAAAAGAAAAAGTTTAAAATAACCTGAAACACTCGTCGACATTTTGCTACAAAAGCAATAACTTTATGCTTCTTTTGATCCTTTTTCTCGAGTGATGAATTGAGAGAAAGAGCGGCAGGTAGACTAGCACGAACTAAGGAAAGTACACCAGAAATAGCAGCAGCTCGATAATTGTTTAAAGAATCCCGTATTGCAGCAACAGCAGAAGTAGATGTGCCGAGTTGTGTAGCATTTGACTGGTTAGAAAGTGGATAAATTAAGCTGGGAGCATCGGGCTGGGATTGCTTTGTTAATATCATCAAAAATTGTTGCTAAAGTGTTTAAAATTTAAAAAAAAATTTAAAAATTTTTCAAACCAAGTAAAGTTCCATTAGCTTCTGGTGAAAGCAAAATGACCATAACAAAAAGACGAATAACTGAACGGACAAATCTTTGAATTAAAAAACGGACTTCTTCATCCAATTTCTTTTGTTGTTTGTTGGCTTGACGTACAAGTAAATTAAGAAGAGTGTCAAGGCTCGATTCTTCACACCAGCCAAGTAAAGTTAAAACAAACTTGTCCAAATGTGTTGAACCATTATGCTCGAGCAAATGAAAAACATTTTCTAAAATTGGTTGATCATCTTCAGTTTTGGAATTAATGAGAGCATTCGGCTTTTTGATACCAACATCAAGCAAACTTTTTACAACATCCCAATTTCCTATTGCCAAATCGAGTGCTAAAAATTAAATTACACTTTGAAATATTAAATTTAAAAAACCTTTTCTAGCAAATTTGGGTGGTTCAAGATCATGTTCAGGAATGGGAACGCCATATGCTGTAGTTGTGTTAGTAGGTCCAGGGCGCTTATTCCGCTTCGTATAGCCTTCTTGTTCAATTAACTATTTATTGAATTAAACATTTTAGAATAAACAAAAATTTATTAAAAAACCTGACGACCAAGAGTGCGAGCCAAAAAGAGTAAAATGTGTTCTCCTTTAGAATTAAGACCGTCAACCAATGCTGGGCATTGTAACATTCCTATCAAATTTAAATATTAACAATCTTTTAAAAAAATTAAAAAAAAAACCAAAAAGCAATTGTTCCCTCTTTGCATTATTTCCAGTGACCAACGCTTTACATTCACATTTCTCCCAGCAGTTACAATAAGCGGTTGGAGATGTTTTCTTAAGTCTAAAAAAAATAAAGTTTTAAATGACATATATTTCGTAAAAAAATAAAATTACTCACTTACAGTCATGATTTCTATGACAAAGGAGGGCTAAAAAAGCAATCATTTTTAATTAAAAAAAAGAGTAAATATTACCGCATTCAGTACAACAACAAAGAGTCCCTACAAGTCCACATGTTTTGCATTCATAAATTTTTTGAGGTGTATGCTCTTCGCCTGTCCAAGTGTAACCTTTAAATTATGTGAGTTAAAAAAAAAGAAACAATTAAAAAAAATATATACTGCATGTATCATTAGCACAAAGAATAAAAAGTGAAGAATCTTCATTTGTATCGTCAGATCCAACGCTTGGCATTAATATATCAACAACATCTAGAAAATTTTATAGGATAATATAAATCAATTTTAAACGTTAAATTAAGAAACGGCCATCTTTAACCCTCATAAAAGAGAGACAGGATGATTAAATTCATTCATTCGTCTCGATTCCGACTAAAGTTGACCGGTTCCTACTCCCTATTTTTGACTAATATTCGTTAAATAAAAGTTTAAAAAGAGAAACTCTTTCTAATCGGTCAATCGGCACGCTCAAAAGGTGGGTTTCAACTCGAAGAGCCAACGCCGTCTAGTTTCCGACAAAAAAAGGACTAGGATATAAACCTAGAAAAAATAACCTTGGCTCCAGTCCTTAACATCAATTGCAGTTTGCCACATCAATTGGGCAGCTGAATATGCACGTTGATATATCGCAGTTTCAAATGGACTATGCCCATTGATGTCACGTTGTCGCATTAAATCAATAAAGTATTCACGTACTACGGCGTTTTTGCATAATTCACGAATTATTTCAATTAAATTAGCTTAAATTATATTTATGAAAACAAAATAATTTAAATTTAAAAACCTTGTCTTTCCTTGGCAGCTATAGGAATCCTTTTATTGATAAGATCAGATGACTCAGCACTTTCCGATTCATTTTTGCCTGTTTCAGGGGAAGAATCTAACATAAAAATAAGAGTTACGAAGTTATCTAAAATATTTAAAAAACCTTTTTTAGAAATTTCAGAAGTTAGTTCGTTTAGGAGTTGCTGCTGTTGATGTGCTTTTGCTCTTGTTGTTGGAGCGGAACTTAACATTTCTTGCCATTTGCGTTCATAACTTTAAAAAATTAATATACAGAAACAAAACACTAAAGAAACCGTGTTTTAACAGCATCCGCCTCAACAGTGTCAGATTTTTGCGAGGCTGTTGATAAACGTGAATCAGTAGCATCAACATCAGCTTGGTCGGCATTTGTTTTGCTGTAAGCATTTTGAACGGCAACATGAAAAATATTTCGATTTCCTTCGATTTGTTCACAAACGATAGCAGGCTGCCTTTCAATTGAGGCTCATAAATAAATAAATAAATAAAAAAGCTTTTTAAGAATAGCAATAACGACGTCTAATTGACTAAAATTTAAAAAATAAACATAAAAGAAGAAAAAATACAAACCAGAAAAAAATAGCCTGCATAAGTGAACCAAAATCAGAAAGTGCACATTCAGGGCTTGGAGAAACTAACGCAACCATCAAAAGAGTTCGATTGGCGTTTTTATTCAAGCTGTTGTTCTTCTTGTCAATGCTAATTTGTTCTGAAAAAAATTGAATGAACACAAAATCCAGATTTTATTCAAATTACCTGAACATATACTAGCACTCTTAATCTCACCAGATGATGCAAAATATCTTATACCCATTCCATATTGAAGAATTCGGCCTAAACCAGTATAAGATAATTGCTTGTATCCACCAGATATGTTCCGTAAAAGTGGTTGAAAGCCTCCACCAAAGCCATCATTCAACAGTAAAATTGTTTCCTTAAAATAAAGCATGATAAAACGTTCAAAAAATCTGCAAATCTTACATCACCAAACTTTTGAACTGTAGTCATACACTCATAAGAATCATCTTTTTTATTTTGTGTTAAAGCTCCAAAATTGAATGGGATAGGATGATCGCTCAAAAGTTTACCAACACAACTAATCCGAAGCAAATGAACACGTGACTGTTTTTCACATAAAACATGAAATCCTAAAAAATTTTTGAACTAGAATTTTTAAATTATACTAATAAACCTGTCAAATCAACTGCAACAGATAAAACTTGTTTAACAGAGGATGGTAGACGAATTTGTTTGAAGTGCATTTGAAAATTTTCTGGAGATCTTGAACCACGCGATGAGGAAGAAACTAGAACTAAATCATCTTTGCGCATGAGTCTAATGCCCATTTTGCTTAAATCTGTAGATGGTTCAGATTCAAGCTTTTCCATTGTAGATTTGAAAACAATTCCACAATAAGCACCATCGACCTGAGAAAAGGATAATTATGAGTAAAGCTCGAGATTTTTTAAAAAATCCTTGCCTCTGATCCAAATGTCAAGGTTTTGAGTCAAGGAAGAATTAAAGTCAAGGAAAAATTAAAGAATCCAAAAAAGCCTTGACTTGATTCTAAACCCAGGAAAAATCAAAGTCTGGGCCCAGGAGAAGACCAGAGAGACAGACAAACCCCAGACCCAACATCAATCTCTAAATACAAGTTAAAGAAATTCCCCGACGTGTGTTAATAAAAAATAAAAAAATTACAATTTTAACGATGCTTGTATCATTTACAGCCTCTTTATGAATAAATATACAATCCTTCAAATTCCATGCACTTTCTTTTCCAGCAAAATCAGAATTATTATTTGCTGGGGTTGAACCAGAACCGGATACGGGTTAAGCAGTTGTTGATGATTGTCGTTGTTCGTTCTCGGCTTGCGCTGACCGGATTCATCTCAAACAAAGAATCGTTTTAAAAATTAAAAGATTAGAAAATACTTTTGTCTGTTGGGGCAGCAGATTCAATAGTGTTGGCATCAATCTCATAACGAAGACGAGCGACTCGATGATCCTAAAAATGTATGAGTAGAGGTGGGGATACTGTGAACTAGGTTGTTAGCTCTTAGAAAATCTTAGGAAATTCTTAACCGAACCGAAGAAATCCGGATTTGAACCGATCTCTAATCTTGGGGCTCCGTGCCGAATCGAAGACCTGACCTATAACCCTACTGTGAACTAAAACCTTGAGTAAGAATGCAACATAATTATGCCCAGCAGTAACTTGCAAAACATCTTCAGCTGGAATTTTTCGAAGAACAGTACATCCAGGCGAAGTAGAGCAATAGCCTTTATTTCGTTTTCTGCACATTCTTTAATCCTGAAAATTTTGAAATAATGAGTAAAAACAAAATTATTTAACCTTTCAAACAAAAGATTCTCGTTCCCCGGAAGCGTATGTCAGAATAGGAAAAGTTGTTTGCCTTCAGTCATACAATAATCTTTAGTTTTCGATAAATTTAGAATAAATTTTCTAAAATAAAAAACGAGAAATATTAGGGTTTTGACAGGTAGATTTGTCGTTTACGGGCCCCTTTCTCCTCCAAGTTTTTCCTTAATATGTCCATACTGGTCAAGGTTTCTTCCGCAAATTTTTATTGACGATTGTTCATGAATATGCCATAGGGAAGTAGAGTTGAACTGAAGAAGGGGGTCTGAACTACATTTCAAGGAAAGAACTATGAGGAGGAAATGGATGGCCCGTAAACGACAATTTACCCTTTACACCCAAACAAAATAATAATAAATCGGTTTAAGATTCAGACCAGTGTCTAATAAACACGATGAAAAGTAAAAGCAAAAATATTAAAATTTGGCGTATAGCTTACGGCGTAAAATTTCATTATATTCGCGAATATTCGACAGAAAATTAAAAAATTTTAAGATAATGCCAGAAAAATTGATAACAATTTATTTCGGTCTTTTGAAACGGAAAATTCGTTAACTCAAAGAACAAATTTCGTTCTTGACAAAAAACCCTTGATTGAACTCAGGGTTCTAGGATCCGTAACAGGGTTAAAAAAACAGGACCAAAACAGGATCCGAAAAAAATTGTTATACATAATCTAGTAATGAAAAGGAGAATAAAAAGAAAATACAGTCTTAATCATCCAATATCTGCCTTGAAGACTATTCATGAATCTACTTAGGGAAGTAGATGGAAGCAATAAGAAAGGAATCAAAAAAAATAAAAAAAAAAGCAAAAGAAATGAGAATATGTAACAAGTAGAAAATCGATACTCTTCGAAAATACAAAAAATCAATAACACTCTAACTGTCTTGTAGTCTAACTGTCTCGATTTCCTTCGATTTGTTCACAAACGATAGCAGGCTGCCTTTCAATTGAGGCTCATAAATAAATAAATAAATAAAAAAGCTTTTTAAGAATAGCAATAACGACGTCTAATTGACTAAAATTTAAAAAATAAACATAAAAGAAGAAAAAATACAAACCAGAAAAAAATAGCCTGCATAAGTGAACCAAAATCAGAAAGTGCACATTCAGGGCTTGGAGAAACTAACGCAACCATCAAAAGAGTTCGATTGGCGTTTTTATTCAAGCTGTTGTTCTTCTTGTCAATGCTAATTTGTTCTGAAAAAAATTGAATGAACACAAAATCCAGATTTTATTCAAATTACCTGAACATATACTAGCACTCTTAATCTCACCAGATGATGCAAAATATCTTATACCCATTCCATATTGAAGAATTCGGCCTAAACCAGTATAAGATAATTGCTTGTATCCACCAGATATGTTCCGTAAAAGTGGTTGAAAGCCTCCACCAAAGCCATCATTCAACAGTAAAATTGTTTCCTTAAAATAAAGCATGATAAAACGTTCAAAAAATCTGCAAATCTTACATCACCAAACTTTTGAACTGTAGTCATACACTCATAAGAATCATCTTTTTTATTTTGTGTTAAAGCTCCAAAATTGAATGGGATAGGATGATCGCTCAAAAGTTTACCAACACAACTAATCCGAAGCAAATGAACACGTGACTGTTTTTCACATAAAACATGAAATCCTAAAAAATTTTTGAACTAGAATTTTTAAATTATACTAATAAACCTGTCAAATCAACTGCAACAGATAAAACTTGTTTAACAGAGGATGGTAGACGAATTTGTTTGAAGTGCATTTGAAAATTTTCTGGAGATCTTGAACCACGCGATGAGGAAGAAACTAGAACTAAATCATCTTTGCGCATGAGTCTAATGCCCATTTTGCTTAAATCTGTAGATGGTTCAGATTCAAGCTTTTCCATTGTAGATTTGAAAACAATTCCACAATAAGCACCATCGACCTGAGAAAAGGATAATTATGAGTAAAGCTCGAGATTTTTTAAAAAATCCTTGCCTCTGATCCAAATGTCAAGGTTTTGAGTCAAGGAAGAATTAAAGTCAAGGAAAAATTAAAGAATCCAAAAAAGCCTTGACTTGATTCTAAACCCAGGAAAAATCAAAGTCTGGGCCCAGGAGAAGACCAGAGAGACAGACAAACCCCAGACCCAACATCAATCTCTAAATACAAGTTAAAGAAATTCCCCGACGTGTGTTAATAAAAAATAAAAAAATTACAATTTTAACGATGCTTGTATCATTTACAGCCTCTTTATGAATAAATATACAATCCTTCAAATTCCATGCACTTTCTTTTCCAGCAAAATCAGAATTATTATTTGCTGGGGTTGAACCAGAACCGGATACGGGTTAAGCAGTTGTTGATGATTGTCGTTGTTCGTTCTCGGCTTGCGCTGACCGGATTCATCTCAAACAAAGAATCGTTTTAAAAATTAAAAGATTAGAAAATACTTTTGTCTGTTGGGGCAGCAGATTCAATAGTGTTGGCATCAATCTCATAACGAAGACGAGCGACTCGATGATCCTAAAAATGTATGAGTAGAGGTGGGGATACTGTGAACTAGGTTGTTAGCTCTTAGAAAATCTTAGGAAATTCTTAACCGAACCGAAGAAATCCGGATTTGAACCGATCTCTAATCTTGGGGCTCCGTGCCGAATCGAAGACCTGACCTATAACCCTACTGTGAACTAAAACCTTGAGTAAGAATGCAACATAATTATGCCCAGCAGTAACTTGCAAAACATCTTCAGCTGGAATTTTTCGAAGAACAGTACATCCAGGCGAAGTAGAGCAATAGCCTTTATTTCGTTTTCTGCACATTCTTTAATCCTGAAAATTTTGAAATAATGAGTAAAAACAAAATTATTTAACCTTTCAAACAAAAGATTCTCGTTCCCCGGAAGCGTATGTCAGAATAGGAAAAGTTGTTTGCCTTCAGTCATACAATAATCTTTAGTTTTCGATAAATTTAGAATAAATTTTCTAAAATAAAAAACGAGAAATATTAGGGTTTTGACAGGTAGATTTGTCGTTTACGGGCCCCTTTCTCCTCCAAGTTTTTCCTTAATATGTCCATACTGGTCAAGGTTTCTTCCGCAAATTTTTATTGACGATTGTTCATGAATATGCCATAGGGAAGTAGAGTTGAACTGAAGAAGGGGGTCTGAACTACATTTCAAGGAAAGAACTATGAGGAGGAAATGGATGGCCCGTAAACGACAATTTACCCTTTACACCCAAACAAAATAATAATAAATCGGTTTAAGATTCAGACCAGTGTCTAATAAACACGATGAAAAGTAAAAGCAAAAATATTAAAATTTGGCGTATAGCTTACGGCGTAAAATTTCATTATATTCGCGAATATTCGACAGAAAATTAAAAAATTTTAAGATAATGCCAGAAAAATTGATAACAATTTATTTCGGTCTTTTGAAACGGAAAATTCGTTAACTCAAAGAACAAATTTCGTTCTTGACAAAAAACCCTTGATTGAACTCAGGGTTCTAGGATCCGTAACAGGGTTAAAAAAACAGGACCAAAACAGGATCCGAAAAAAATTGTTATACATAATCTAGTAATGAAAAGGAGAATAAAAAGAAAATACAGTCTTAATCATCCAATATCTGCCTTGAAGACTATTCATGAATCTACTTAGGGAAGTAGATGGAAGCAATAAGAAAGGAATCAAAAAAAATAAAAAAAAAAGCAAAAGAAATGAGAATATGTAACAAGTAGAAAATCGATACTCTTCGAAAATACAAAAAATCAATAACACTCTAACTGTCTTGTAGTTAACAATATGAAACTAGATTTTCCGTGTCCGGACAAAATATCGAATCGTTAAAATATGGAATAGGCTAAAAAAGGGTTAAAATCTCGAATCGGGTAAAAGTGGGTTAAAATCGCGAATAGGCTAAAAAGGGGTTAAAATGTGGAATCGTTAAAATATGGAATGGTTAAAATATCGAATAGGCTAAAAATGGGTTAAAATATGGAATCGTTAAAATATGGAATGGTAAAAATGTCGACACGGCCAAAATAAGTCAAAATGTCGAATTTCTTTAAAAATGGCGCCAAAACTAGAATCCGGTCGGTACCGTAATACCGACGGTATTTTTCGGTATTCCGTGTCGGTAGTACGGTAAGGAATGCCGACCGATAAAATTTAAAAGCTAATAGGTATTTTTCGGTATTCCGTACCGTATACGGTAAGGTACAAAATTTAGGTCTTTACTAAAAACAAGTGCACGATACTCTAATTTTTTCGTATCAGGATCGCGTTATGTTTTCCGGATCCGCACGTTCATGCCGGACCGGATTCGGTCGATTATGCTTGATTTATCCGGTCCGGTTTTACTCGGTAAAGTACAGTGAACTCTGGCAGAAAAGATTACGCCGGACTACGACCTACCAAAGTTATTAACCAACTTATCAGCAGTAAGTTGATAAGTTGATAAAATTATCAACAATCAACGTATGGCACTCATTTGACCCTTTTTTAAAGAAATTCGACATTTTGACTTATTTTGGCCGTGTCGACATTTTTACCATTCCATATTTTAACGATTCCATATTTTAACCCTTTTTTAGCCTATTCGATATTTTAACGATTCCATATTTTAACGATTCGGTATTTTAACCCCTTTTTAGCCTATTCGCGATTTTAACCATTCCATATTTTAACGATTCCATATTTTGTACCGGAGCCAGATTTTCTCATCACACTTTCTCACTTCTTACTCTCCGGTTAGGGACGATTCGGCGCCCACGTTTCCGCGCTCAGTTCCGCGCACATTGTTCAGCGCCAGTTATAGAAGGCACGTTTCCGCGCCAAATATTAAAAATATGGGTACGGCCCACTATGGCGCAAGCCCAATATGCCACAAATCTTCTAAAAGCGGATTAATTTATTGGGATACGAGTGATGTTCGAGAGTTAAAAAAGCCGAGAGTCGAGACCGAGAGATTAAGAGGGATATTACTTGATGTCTCTCCTAATCACCAAAAATCCCTTGATATACCCCATAATTCCCAAAATCCCTTGAATCCCAAAGTCCACAATATATATCCACGGATATTCACATTAATCTCTTAAAATCCCCTCATATCCCTCAAAATCCCTCCAAATCCAACGATATCTTCTTGATCCCTCGTTGCCACGCTCAAGTCCTTTGATATTAAATTTAATACTTCAGAATCCCCAGTATCGCTCTTAATCCTTTTAAATCTTATTAAATCAGAATTTTTGGCGCTGTAGGCGACAAAAAAATCGAATAATTATTAATTTTATAATACAAATTCTGTAAGATCAAATTATGTATAAAATTATCTTTGGGTCTTATCTCTTTTTAAAGCAGCAGCCTTTTTATATAAAGCAACTTTCATCTTCTACTCTTCCAAATAATTCGTAACAGTCTGTACTTTTCAACAATCTGTCGTTGTCTCTCTTTTAAATGAAAATTTTAGTTTTTAGCTATTTTTTACATGCAACAAAAGGAATTTCTAGAAATACCTTTCCTTGTTTTTGGGGTCCTACATGTTCTATATAATATGTATATACATTTACATACCATTAAATAATGTGTCTGAAGAAGCATTTTTGTTGATTTTTGTCCTTCAAGCTTCTCAAAACTTGCATATCTTGATTTTGTTTCTACTAAGTCACTTTCATCAAACAGACCCCTAAAAAATTTTGGAATTATTTTTATCTTGGTGGGAATAATTCGTATTTTACCTAGGATCACCTATAAGTAAAAATCGAGGCAATTCTCCATCTTTTCTTTCATTGACCATCCTCAAACAATTCAGATTACAACTTCTAATCCAAATTGTTATCTGCTCTAAAAAAATTTTCTTCAAACTTTTATTTTCCTTGAGAAAATACCTGGTTGTTCAATTTCATTACTCTTCCACTCCATAATGCGCACATCTTTTAAAACAGTATATTCTGTTGAACTGTCACCAATTTGGATGGTAGCGATATTTTTAGAAGAGATTCGGAAGAATAAAGCTTAAAGAGGAGATATTAAGGAAAAATATGTTGAGACCTTTAAGCATCAATTATAGTGGAACAAAAGTTATTGTGAAGAGGGAGCATATTTTTAGCCGGGAATATATTCATTTATCAGAAAATATATGTATGCACATAAATATTAAAATATACACTTTAGAATAATTTTTTGAATATATTTGAAATTGGCAATAATTTAAAAAATTTAAAAGTTAAAAAATGACACGTAGAAAGGTTCAAGGATGATTCAACATATTTATTAAATTTCCACGCATTTTAACAGCCCTCACGAGTTCAGCATAATTTTGTACTTTATCATATATGCAAATATTCTAATTATTTTTCCAGCTTTGATTTTAAATATCCTCACCACTTTTTTAATTTATAAATGTTATTTATCAAAAGTGAATGAATCAAAGTCTCATGATAATTTAACAAATATTTTAAAATAAATTGAGATTTATTTCATACAAATTCTCAAAAATTGGTAGAATAATAATGAAGTAAAGTGCATTTTGCTAAGAAAAATTGAAATAGAAAAGAATAAATGGATTTACATGAAAAATTTTTTCAAGTATTTTTAAGCTCATTCAAGTTCAAGTTCGCCTAGATAACGTTATTTATTGTACAAAGATTCTTATGATTAAACTTTTCATTATTAAGGAAGTACTACATATTTGTGTACAAACAAATATACACACAAATTTTCTTAATAAAAATTTTAAATTCCAATAACAAAAAGTACCATGTGAGGAAATAAATATGTATACTAAATATGCAAAAATATAAAATAAGATGGTAAACAATAAAAACGTAAAAATAAATACACCTAATAAATTGTTAACAGTAAATTTTTTTATATAAACAAAAAGATTTGAATATTAAAAAAAGTTTTTTTTTAATCTGTTTACGAATTTGAAAATCTTGTGATTGCGTGGAAATTTAAGGAGAGAGAGAAGGGAAAAAAGATAGAAATAAGAGAAGAACAGATTGTTTAAACTTATTAGAGCCAAGTTGGCTTTTTTATTTACATCCCCATGGCTGGAATTTTGTCCTCAAAAGGTCAAATAAAAGGCCGCTGAATTTTGATGAATTTTATATAAAATTTCACACTTATAAAATATAAATTTATAAAGTTTTTTTCAAAACCAGAAGATTTAAATTAAAAAAAAAAGAATTTCTCTAATAAAACTCAAAAACTTTCAGATGTAGCACTAAAAGAAAGAGCTTATGCTCCCTGTAAATAATTTTTATAATTAACATTAATATAAAAATTAGCAACATTATTTTTAATCCCAAATGGGAAGATTAAATGCAGTTTCAACAAAAACTGAATAAATAATTCTTAGAACTAATTAGAAATCTGTAAATGTGAAGACTTCAATCCTCTAATTTTATTAGCTTAAAAATATTTTGCACTCTACTATCTACCCTACTAATAATCAAATGATCAAAAGTGCCCAGAAAAATTTGAAATCTAAAAGAAACAAATTCGATCAGTATTGATTCTAGAAGACTCTACCAGACTTCCGGCCCCGTAATAAAATTGACGGATTCATGGCCAATGGATAAAGACGGATGAGCTAGCCCTAGGATCAAACGTCGAAAGAATTCAATTGAACATATAAAAATACTTCACTATTTCATCTCCATATTTTTCATCATCAATTTCACCCCCATAATCACCTCTAGTCAACTTTTATCCCTTACCTAATATCCCAAATATTTGTAATATTTTTTGTCTTTGCACTACTATACATAGATACTTTTTGATTAATTTGTTTTTATAATTTTTTGTTTGTTATGTAAATTTTATTTATATCTTTCATAAAATTAATATAGAATGTTTAAAAACATGATGTTGAACTATAAAAAAAGTCTGAGATTGAATTTGAATGTTTGATAGCCTTAAGAAGTTTATTGTTATTTGTAAGTAATATTACATATAACGATAAACCTTTATTTTTATTTTAGTTATCTTTTGGTATTATTTTGTATTTATGGGTATTTTATTGGTGCTTTTATAAAGATTTTATTTTTTGATTAGTTATGGTCTAATCTCTGGTTTCTAAATAATAGAATATGTATATATTTTTGAAATATAAAAAATATACTATTTAGCTTTTCATCGTAATCATAAGATTCTGCTCCCGATTTATAATTTAAGTGAAATTTTTTAATTTATGCTCTAAGTCAGCTTTTTTAGTCAAATGCTAAAGCTTTATAATTATTCTAAAAATTAAATTATGAATACAAAGTCCTCACATATAAAAAGTGAAGCGGACATAGTCACGTTTAAAAATGTGACTAATTTTAGTAAATAACAAATATTTCTTAGTTTTGAACGTTAAAAACGTTTAAGTAATAAAAAGAAGAATTTGAATAACAATAAATCGACAAGAATTGAGTTAAAAATAACTCTTAAAATGTTGTCGTATGACGTTAGATAAATTTAGAAATGAGTCAGAAAACTAGAATTATTACGAATTAAATTGTGAAAGTTTAGACAAATCGAGAAGAATAATCAACCCAGAATATAAGGAAGGAAATTGTATCTAGGGTTCTGAAGTATCTAAAGAATTAATGAAATATAAAAATATTTTTGAATGAAGAAAGCTTTAGAGAGAACGAATTAGCTTTGCAGAACAAAATTTTAAAGCAATCTGATAAAAAATATTTTGAACTTTACATGATTATAAAAACTAGTAATAAACACACACATACTGCTGTGGTCTTATGTATTGTTTGAAAGGATTTGGAAGGATTGAGAGAATTATTGGGAGAAAAATAGTCACTGAATAAATAAACCAAAAAATAAATTAATCAATTTAAAAATATGAATAAAAAATGGATGGAAAATATTTTTGCAGGTAATAAAGTTTTTTATGTAAAAACTAAAATACCAAATATTTCTATATTTGGAAAATAAAATAAAATTTATTACTTGAATGGATTTTTGTGGTTTATGCAAATTCAAGTTTTATTTGCATGTATTGAAAGAATAAACGGGAATTTCCAACACCTTCCTTGCTTAGCCCCGTCAAAACGATCTCAACCATCCTTAATCCCTCCAAATCCATATTTATCCCATTTAACCCCTCCAATTCCCCGATTTGTGAAGAAATAAAAAGTAAAAATGGTCTTAATGAAACTGGAGTAGGTCCTCAAGGAAATAGGTATTCAGGGTTAGGTAGGTAGGTCTTCCGGGTCAATATGTCTTAAGGGTGTATGCTTCAGTGATGGAATCAGTAAAAATTATAAAATATTAAAAAATTTTAATAGCAAGCCAAAGAAATATTTAAAATAAAATCTTAATTTAGAAATATGAAAAATTCAAAAATTTTCTTGAAATTTCTCTAAAACGCGAGGTAAAGAAACGTGGCTAAATTAGTCAGAGGTCCATTGCTTGTTTTGCAGTTTTGCGTCATTTAAATAATAAATAGTTTTTTAAACATTTCTTTCTCTCACTTCATTTCTCTTATCTCCCTTTACTCTCGATTCCATTCCTGACAACCGACCCGCCCATTTTTGGCCAAATAAAAGACTCCATCCAAAAGAGAAGAACATACATACATATACACATTTACAAAATTTAAATTTTTATTTAATTTTAAATTTATATTTCTCTTTTTTCAAATGAAGGTAATAAAATTCTATTAAATTATTGGAAAAATATATAGTTTATTTCCAAATTTAGAGGCTAAAAGCCAACATCATTAGCTTATTACTGATTAAAATTTTTTTTACTAATTAAATTATACACCGTAAATTTCTAATTGAATGCCCGGACATTTTATTTTTCAATCATCCTTCAAAGGGGCATGCGTCTACTAGAGGGAGCCGGTCTCTAATCCTTAGCTTAATATTGATAAAATTTTACTGATTAAAAATATATTAATTTCTTCTCATTTCATTAATATAATTTTAACAAACTAAAAAATATTTTTTATCAGATGTAAAAATTCCAACAAAAAAAGGAATTCCACAACTAAATGATCTCTAGTTTCTTATGTAAATAAAAAATAATTTCCTCAACTAGAATTACCACCACAACAAAAACCAATTTTGCATTCTCGCAAATACGCTCAACAAAAAATAATATTGAAATACTTCAAAATATTTTTAAGAAATTGCGAGAATACAAAAAACAACAACGATGCAAAAACCGGTCAATTAATTTTCATCCCTCCTTACTTACGCTTCAGCTTCCGAAACCTACAAAATTTCAAAAAAAATTTCCTTATCAACTAAAATTCTTCTTTATCCTTAGCTTTATTCAAAACTATTTTTTGTTCAATTTTAAACAAAAAAACTCTTAGCACCCAGAAAATGACAGCAAAATATTTGGTCTTTGATTTTAAAGGTAAAATAATGATCAAAACTAAAAATTATTTAATTTTTATTTTTTAGACTAACAAAAACACTACTCTTCCAAAAAACTTTTCTTCACTTTACTCTACAAAAACCCTATAAAATTCGATCAGTATTGATTCTGGAGGGCTCTATCCGAAGTCCGGCCCCGCAATAAAAATTGTGGACTCATGGCCAAAGGAAAAAGACGACTGAGCAGGCCCTAGGATCAAACGTCGAAAGAACATTTAATTTCAGACTTTCTATCTTTTACACATTTTTACTTTAGCATTTTTATTTTGTATCCAACAACAACCCAAAAATCATGCCATTCTCCCAATAATTATTTTTTAAAATTTTGTTGCTCATCCCATATTTAATTAAAGCAACTTTTAAGCTGCTAAATTATCTAATAAATTTAATTTATTTTAATTCTTGTATTTGTTTAAAAAACAAAATGATTAAGTTTCGAGATATTTAAAATAAAAAGTGTCCTTTAAAAAGAAGAAAAAATAAATTATAAAAAAATATTAACAAGTTATTCACACCTTTTTCAAATAAAGTGTTATTAAAAGAATTGTGTATTTAAATATTGAAAGCATAAATACTAAATAGAATATTACTGTCATTTTCAAAACACATTTAAAAAATTTTTTTGAAAAATGATTAAGAGGGAATATTTAATATTGTTTGAATTAATTATTTGTTAATATCATTAATAAACTATAATAATTAGTTAATAAATAATTCTGAGAATTATAATAATTTTTTTTAATAATTTTGAGAATTTTGGAAGTCCTTAAGCCAGATCTCTTCCATCTTTTTCGCATCAAACGAAAATTTTGGAAATTTTAAGGTTAATTTGTTAATTTTATGTTTCGAAAAGATATGAGTAGGGTTGACGGTTCGAAACTGAACCAAAGGACAAAGGATTTTTCGATTCGGTTCTAGATATCAGAAAATAAGCAAGAACTGACAGGATTAAAAATCTTTGCATATTAGACAAAAAATACATATTTAAAATTTGTCCTTAAAAATAAGATTTATCTTGTATTTCCTTACGAAGGATAACTTTTATATAACCTCAATTAGTAGCCTCAATAATATGCCCTCGACTTTTATCTACTCAAAGGACCTATTGATAGATTTGGAAAAATTTTTTTTAAATAATATTCTCTGATATTTTCCCCATCTAATCTCTATTTTTCAATCTAATGTGATCTCCATAAATAGGTAAATAATCGTTAATACCTATTTCATTTAAAAATTCCCATCTGATTATGTATAATAAATATATTTAATCCCTTTTTATTAAAAACAATTAAAAAGAGCAACCAACAGGTATTAACAAAAAGATCTGAGATTTTGTTATAAACAGCCGCCCTTTTCCGAAATTATTTTTCGAGACTTTTTTTAAACAAAATGTGTTTATATAAAGTACAAGTATTTATTTATATTTATTTTAATAAATAAATATATTATTTGTCTGACTTATGAAGAGGTCGTATGACTTTTTGAAAAAAGGGAAGTTAAGTGCAAAAGGTAAAAATGAGTAAAAAATGACTAGAATTGCGGACAAAAATATTTTTAAAAAATAAATAAAAATATGATAACTAGACTGATAATAAATTAAAAGAAAGGTTAAAGATTAAAAATTGATAAATCAGACAATAAGGCGTTTTTAATTAATTTAGACAATTAGATAATTAGAAAAGAAAATTAAATTTAATAAAGCTAATTTATAGGAAGACCCAAAGGGCTCAAACTAACTTAAAAAACCTAAAGGTTCGTACTTAAATTACTTTTCTAATTGACCCACCAAATTTATGTCCTTCTGGAGCGTTGATATTTTCACAAAGTTCACCAAATGTAAGCCTAAAAAATATGACTTGAATTTCACATGTGTGAAAACAATAACCTGGCACAAGAGGAACATTTGACTGTACAGCTTAGCTCCGCGCAAGTGCAAACTCCATTTTGAAGGCAAATTGTTTCAACAATCTATAGAAAAAATATTAACAAATCGAAGTTAGCTTAATTATTAGATGATTAAATATTAGAAGAGAACGGCCTGGATCTGGATGCAGACTTTAATTTTTTTCTGGATCAAGCATTAAGACCAAGTCATTTTTCAATATTCCTTGATTTTTCCTTGGCTTAAGGTCAAGAATCTCGTTAAGGTCCACACCAAAATCAGGAATCAAAGTCAAGGTTTTTAAAAAGTTCCAATCTCTATTAAATCTGAATCCAAAAATAAATAATGAAATCACCTCGGATTGAGGCTTATCGCTCTTTTCTGAGATCAGATTTAAAAATTGATTGTGTTGTGTTGATTTTGTTGTTGACTTGAAGGATTTATATAAAACAAAATATTTCAAACAAATTTACATTGAAAATATTAATTTCCTCATTATCCTTTTTGGGTGTTGTTAATGGACTAAGAAAAGAAGTAGCAACTGGAAATATTGCTGGAGGAAGAACATCCCCATCAGAATTAGTTAATACTGAACGTCGTCTCCTAGATAACGTTGTTAAGTCTTCAAGAAAATCAAAATCTTGGGGCAAAACAATAAGTTGAGCAAGTGATAAATCTTAGTAAAAAGAAAATTAATTTGATTAAAATTTTCTGTTAAAAAAGACTAACGATGATGCATTGCACTAATGGAGATAGGTGCCAAATTCTCCGGTAAATAGCCTCCATTTGGTTCGATTAATGCAACTTGAATGAAAAAATATTAGAGAGATCGGATGATTTGAATTAGGCTCTTCAGTTTTTTGGCCCTTACGTTTCCAACTTACGTCTTCCGCTTTATACATATACTTTTCCGTTTTCTTTGCCTCCTGTTTTTAAAACATGGAAGAGCCCATCCCCAATGTATATGCTATTAAAAATATTTACTTGTATAAACAACGTTAACTTCTTTAATTAAATTAGTCAGAACAAAATGGACAGCTGTAGCACTAATGCGAGGTTCTACTTGGAACTTTGCTGGGCCTCTCTATCAAATACCTAATTTAAATTTCTAAGAAATTTATTAAAAATTAACCAAAATATAGACAAAATGTGGATACGTACTGAATCCAGTAAATATGCCATGTTCAATTTGAATTGAATTAAGTAAATGTGAATTACAACTTTATTAAATACATAATTATTTTACAACTTTAATTCATTTACCGAATTGTAACTGTTTGATTTATAAATCCAGCTTGTATCCTTTTTTGTTCTAAACTTAAAACAATCGGTTCACCATCACTTGGATCACGACGAGAACGTTTTCTCTTTTCTACTTGAACTTTAACGCCTAATAAGAGTTGTGAATCTCCTCGAGATTTAAGCTCCATTTGACGGACTGTAGGTTCTACAAATATCCCAAAAGGCAAATCATGACCTTTAAATAATCTGCTACTATTTGATGATGTTGAATATACAGTGAAATTTGCCTAAATAGGGTTGTTAAATAAGGTTTACTCTCGTTAAGATGGATGTGGTATCTACTCCCTACACAAATTATTATTATCCAACTATTATTCTTTTGAAGTGGGAATTATAAATAACGGGGATCTAGCCAACCTGATTCCCGAAAATTGGAATTCCCTACCCTTTTTAACTCCGTATCCCAATTTTCCGAAATCGTGAATATTTTTCTGTCGGCTAGATCTTTGATACATAAGGACCATATGTACCTTAGTTGCAAAAATTTAACACTATAAGTATATAAATACTACTACATTAAGTGTTCCTGCCAACGCTTGACGCATTTGCCTTTGCGCATTAACAACAGCAAATTGATGTAATGCACGAGTAGCAAAGAAAGTGTCCTAGATAGTACAAATTTTAAAAATATTTTTAAAAAATCACCAAAGCATTCTCATATTGTCTATTACTATCTTGCTGCTCAATTAACCAATTACTCAACGCCTCCAAATTAAATTCATTCCTCCAGAATTTATAAATACTTTGGTTTTGTGTATATGCTAGTAAAGCTAAAGCATTTACAAGAACAATTGAACTCTAAAAAATATTTTTGGATTAAATAGACCAAATAAATTCACTTTTTGCAAACTCCTTTCGAATAAATTTTGCACTTTGACTGATTTATTCGAAAAACCCTCAGTCACACTCCAATATGGAATATGGTTATCATTAGCAGTTTTCCCAGCAAGTTTTGCTCGCATCTCACTTCTAAAAATATTCTCTAATCAAATAATCTCCCAATCGAAAAATTACCTTATAGCCGGTGTAGACATATAAGCAAGAGCAGCAATTACTTTCACATCATAGTCTACACTCAGATCAACAGAACGATAAAAAGAACTGTGCAGTTTCATCCATGCTTCCTTGGCCAAAGAAGACTGATCATTCATTAATGGCTATTTTTTTCTTTTTTTCATTTATTATATATTAATTAATTAATAATAAATATAATTAAATAATTATTATAATAATTTTAATTATTCTCCAATTTAAAATTAACTTACTGCTGCACATGCATATGCTGAACAATCCAGAACAACTTGGACTATTAATGCTTGTAGAAATAGCCATTTGCTCTTCTTGTCATTCTAAAATACTTATTTATTAAAATTATAAAGTATTCCTAAAAAGAATCCTAGGATTTCACGTACCCAATTCATGGATTTATGAAAATCATTATACTGATTTAAATTTATTTACAAATTTAGTAAAAGCATCAAGTCCTGCTATAATTTCCTCTTTTTCTTCTTCTTCACTTAATATTTTTAGAACGGATTGAGCAAGAAATTGAATTGGAGCACATATCTATAATAAAGATATATTTTTCCATTTTTAACTTTTAATTAATTTTACATATTCATCAGGGGTTCTTTGTTCACAAAGTAGGGAAGTTGCTAATGATGTTAAAACCTTAATTATTTAGAATTAATTTTAAAATCAAATCAAAGGGATAATCTACCAACCAAACTGCGTTCTTCAGGTTTATTCGGCTTCCCAAATTCACCAAAAGCACATAACTTCTTTCCTTGACAATCAGAAAAGGTAAGCAATTCTGATAATAAATTGCCCAATCTGCGTTCCCGTTGTTCTAACCATTCCTTTTCTATTGGATTATTCCAGAAACTTTCTTTGGAACCTTCATTATTTTCTATTCCAGCTAATAAAGCACGCAAAGATTTAAATTCATAACTCGCCTGAGCCAATTCCTTGAGCAAATTAGGCAGGGAATAGCCTAAAATTATTTTTAAAAAGTAAATAAAAGCAAGAGGGACTCAACCTTGAAGGGGTCTATCAACCTCTTTACTGTTATCCAAATCTACTCCTTTAATTAGCGCTATATTAGGCAATATTTTTCTTATAGGCAATTCTTTATTTTGGGTTCTTCCTCCTTTTTTGCCTTTTGAACGTTTTCGACGTGTTTGTAAATTTTCAGCAATTGAAGGTGACAATAAATTTGTTGGTGAGCGATTGCGCACACGCTGTAGAAATTGGTCAGAATTGAGTGAAAGAGGTGAAGAGGCAGCTATCAATTCAGTAGAAAGTGCTGGAGGAAAGGAGGCAACAAATTTTGAAAATTCTACTCCAATGCTAAAAATTCTGAGACCTCCAGGGTTTATTTGAATCTGAAAATTTTAAGACATTGATTCGTTGATTAGGGTTTTACCCTTTTCCAGAGTAATCTACCTGAGTAATTAGATGATTCTTAACTTGTTCAGTGTCAATAATAGTTGTATCATCGTCTTGTTGACTTTCATCCACTTTTAAAGGTTGTTGTTGACTATAACTAATAACATCTTGTGTTGAACGTAAGGTTAAATAATTTTGTGAAGAATGATCTGTTGTTGCACGTGTACTCGATTTCTCTCCCAAAACATCTTCAAGTGTAACAGTTCTTGGGGGTAAGCTTTGACGCTGGTAAACAACAATTTGGCGAAAATGTTCTTCTATATCGACACGATTGGTTACACTTATTTGCTTTACTATGCGGTCAAAAACATGTATATTCCCATCGCGACAATGCCAACCATGGCCTTTCAATACCTCCTCATTTCTCAACTCAAAAGTAAGATTATGAAGTCCTGGACGGAGGAAACGAACAAAAAATTGTTTTTGTTGTACTGGCTTTTCTTCTGTTAATTCTATACGAGTAAAATCTATCTCTCCAGCAACACCATCTCTCCCAACATCTCCACAAACAGAAGGTGAAAGGCCTTTAAAACAAACTGCCATTCTTTTACCTTCTCCATTTTTATTTAGATTTTCTGCAGTAATCGTCACCTATTAAATTATTTAAATAATTCGAAAATCAAAATAAAGTAATTATCATCCTTAAATTAATTTAGTACCTTTACTGAAATAGTTTCATTAACATAAATATGCGAAGGTACGTCAACATCCATAAAAACTGTAAATTTAGAGATAAGTATTATTTTAAGATTTCTAACTTTTTCTCACCATCTTTCTGAACAAACAAAACATGTTTATTAACCAGATGGCAAACATCCCTACGTCCATCCGTCCAAAATTTAGGAATAAATAACCATTCAGTTACTGTATGTGGAGTTTTTAGATTTAATTCCAATTCTCCTGTTTGACCAATATAAAAATCATTTAACATCCAAACATCAGGGAAGAAGTAGCGCCACAAAACATCATCGTTATTTAATATTTGTTGGTTGCCATTTCTTAATGCCTTAATTAAATTTTTTCTTCTTAATTATAAACTTTAAAAATTCAAGTTGCCTTCAAATCATCCACTTCAACATTATTTGATGTTTCTTGAACATTTTGGACATAGCTCTTTTTATTTAACATCCACATAAGTTGATTATCATTTCCAGAGGTTTTTATCGGCCAAGCATTTTGTTGTTGATTTGTTTGGCCTTTTTCTGTTAAGAATCCATTAGCCGATTCTCTAATTGTTTTTTGACGTTCACATTCTCCCTAATAAATAAATGTTTTGAATAAATCGTTTGATTTTAGATTAGCTTATTATATAATAGTCTCCCGGTTCTTTTTGGATTTTACTCGATTAAATTTTGTCCGTGTTATCAATAAATTAACAAAATAATTAAAAAATTAAAAAATACAATTAATTAACAAAATAACAATACAATTTCAATTAACAAAATACACCTGTATTTCACGCAAGCATTCAGTAGAAAATCTAGAAGCCGAAATTGGTATCCTTGTTTTACTAGATGGTTGTATATGCTCGTTTGATATCTGCTCAGTACCCTCAACTGGACATTGAGGAGCAAGTTTTCCAGCATTTTGGCATATTTCTTTTCTTTTTGCAAATAATTTAGACAATTCCAAAACATTAGAAAACCAAATAAAATTTTCGAAATAATGTTCTCCAGGTTCCGGGTTGAGAAATTCAGAGAAAGTCCATAATTGGTTATTTGAGGAGGAAGGGACAGATTGTTTAATTAATGCATCCAAACGACTATCTGAATATTTTTTAAGAATTTTTTTGGATATTTTAAGAAACCATAAATATGCAATGTAGCTAAAGAATTTGGTTGTGATCGCAGTGTGACGTTAATAGGAACTCCAACAGTCACGTTTTTATGGGGAATAATTATTCCATAATCCTAAATAATTAAATTTCATTAATCTAATAACTTATTATGGATTAAAAATTTTCATTCTGTTTGCTTTTAAGATATTCAAATCACATGATTTAGTAAGCAAACTTCTCTTTAACAAATAATTTTAGAGAGAAATTTCAAGTAAATTTGGGTCGTTATTTAATAAATCCCTTAATACAAATATTCCCTTTTATCCATTTCGCGCATCAAAAAGGATTTATTCCTTCTCTTTTCCGATCAAAATCAACAATAAAAAAAACAATCAACGTAAATGCATATTCATTCCATTTATTCTTTCGTTCCAGAAGATACTCTCATCACTCCCCAGGATTAAAATATATACATATATAAAGCTTTAAAGGGAAAAATAAATATATACAGCTCGACCAAACTCAACTGTACGACAGCACTTGGGGAAGGGGAATTATTGTTTCAAATCATCCAAAAATGGGGAATTTATCGGAATTGGACAAATATTTATTGAATTAGCGAAAAAACTCCAAATCTGAATTTTAGTTAACCTAGATTTTGATAATAAAATGCCTTCAAAAATCAGGGAAAGAATTTCGGCAGTTATACTAAAATTCGTACTTACACTATTTTTAATTGATAAAGGTAGGACAATGAATTTCTACAAATGAAATTTTTAATCTAGATGTACTTTCTACTAATTATTATGGCGGTGTTATTGTCCCGGGCAGAAGTATCCCAGCTATTCGTTCATTTGAACTTTTTCTTAACCTCTGCCGATCATCTCCTACACTGGATAAATTAAATAAGGCAAAAATTTTAATTTTTTAAGTTTCCTTTATTGGGTTAAAAATATTTTTTAATTAAAAGCTGATAAAACAAGTAAACGCTGATCAGGTAGCAGAAAAATTACAAAGAAACTTATATGTTGCTGTTGATGATTTGGATGTTGAAAAAATGACAGGGAAATGGTACACGGTTGGTTTACGCAAAAATAAAGAACCCAAGGAGATGGATAAATTTTTAAGATGATTTATGATCCCAGAATTGAACAGGACCATTGTATTACAACACAATGTAAGTTAACAAAGCTTGTTTACCAATCAAGAAAATTTCCAAGTTAAATTACTCGACCAAAGCCCTAATTTTGCATCATTTTCAACAATAAGACATTCAATCCGCGCAAGTGATGGGTCAATAAGAATATCGCATGGAATTGGCCGAAAATATGGTCCAGACCCTTTCTCTATGTTAATCACAATGGGACAAGCAAATGAACCATGCCCATGTTTGTTTTTAAAAGTGACAGGCATAAAGCTAATTAATTTTTAAAAGATTTTCCAGTCAAAGTTGGACAATCATTATCAGACAAAAATGAAAACTATAAATACTTGGTATTAACCCAAGCATTAAAACAACCAACAATAGTTTTAGCAAGAGATCCAGAAGAGTTTTGCTTCAAAAATAAATTTAAATTAATTTAAATATGTAGATTCAATATTCAATATCGCGAAGAAGTGCTTGATTATCTAACTCGTTTTGGATATTGGAAAAATCCTTTGACTGGGACAGAACTTTTAAATACAGACTGGACTAAATGCAATAAACAGGAATTGTTTTACGAGCAGATTGAGGAGGATGAAAACGAAAAGATCGAAGGAATAAAAAGAATTGAAAGAGGGGGACTTTTAAATCAGATGGAGGGAAAGGAGAAAAAATAAATAAATTATTTTGTTAAAATATTAGCTATTTTTATTCAAAAATTGAAACCGACCTTGGGACAATATCCGGGTTTTTTAAAAATAAGGTGCATATCCACAACCATTTCTGAATTTTTTCCATTGCTACCATAAACGTAGAGAACACAAGCACCAGTTCCAATTTGTTTTGTTATTTGTATTCTGACAAGGCCGTCTTTAATAGGACCAACAGAAGTCAAATCTCGGCCATTCCCACAAATTAACTAAATTGATCTTTTCAACAAATTTATATCAACTTTTACCGCATAGTTGAAGTTTCGCCCAGTAACATTATGAATTACTGCCTCAACAAATTCACCTTCAACATATTCACCTTTATTTTGATTTATCTCGATTAATGAAAGATCAAATTTATCGAATCCATCGAGCAAAGGAAGTACTAAAGTTTCAGATGTGCTAAAGCCTCCATTAATTAATTTGCGCCGGGCCTGATAAAAACGGGATATCAGTACGGGATAACAGAAAGCGGATATCTATACATACCTTAATAATATAGGCTACGCATCTAATGTCAATTTCTATCTCAGCAATAGTACCCAAGCGTTGGATTAAAGAATGGTTAAGTCCGTTTAATGAGCGTTCTTCCGAAATACATTGTGTGGTTAATTCCGCATCGCCTTCTATTAGAAAACGGCGACGTAACTAATAAAATATAATAAAAATCTATTTATTTTAATCTAAATTTATGAAAACCTACATAAATGAGCAGTTTACGCGTATTTCGAGTGAACGCTGGTCTCAAAGGAATCTGAAAAAAAAGGTTCAGTTTGATCACAAAACAATTAATTATTGATATGAATTTACCAGTTCAAAGCCTGGATTAAACAAATCCCATTCTTTAACAGTTTTTGCTGACAAAAAAGAGCCACGTTCAGTAACCTCAGCAATTAATTTAATTTTTTGACGTTTTTCTTCTGACACACCGCAGACTTTAAGATCTAATTTGCCTGACCAATGGCCTTCTATCAACTAAAAGGAATTTTTAAAATATGGCTACTTAGGCTAATACCTGAGCTGAAAGTATTTTTCTTGCAGTTGAAGATGTGTCCTTATCATCATTTTCATGGGAAGTTTCTTTATTTACAGGTAGACAACGAAGCGTTAATTCACCTTTTACTTTCATTCCATGAGCAAATCTAATTTAAAAAATTAATTAAAAACCATAAATTTTTCTATTTTAAAGTACCTAGCAAATATATCTATATTCAATGAAAATGGTGAATCAGATACCTCATCCAAAGTCATAAAAACATGAAACTTTGGGAGTTCTAAAAATATTATTTAAATTTAAGTTGAAAAATTAGATTGACTAGCCATATTCTTCCACACGAATTGTAGTATGAAAACGGCTAGAAGAGCCATGTTCGTAATCTCCAGCAAAGGCTACCACTTTCCAATTACCGTAACGAAGAAACTTTAAAAATTTATTTAAATTTAAAGCTTTAAGCTGAAATTTTTTACTTTGGGCAAATCAAAATATTCTCTTAGAAATCCATCAGTTTGACTTTTATCATTATTATCAGACAAGCTATTAGCATCATCATTCTCTTCCAATTCTAGACTGTCATCATTATCATAATATAAATTTCCATTGTTAGTTTTGTTAAAAATACGAAATCCGTTAGGATCCTGAAATTAACATTGAGTTACTATGGTCTATATCGGTGATAAGATAAAATTTGATCAAGTACTATAACGTGTAATTTATAATAGTACTTCTCAAAATTTGAAAAAATTCATATGTTATCGGATTTTTAAGGTTCATTAGTGAGGGGATACCTTCGGACCCTATGCTAAAAATTTTGTTTCAATTCACCATAATTATACCCGTTTAACTTTTAGTTTTAAAGTTTATACACAGAAGGAATTTCAATAAATCACTAATGGTTAGTGATTATGTATGAAAAGCTGATTAATAGAAGAAAACTTAAGTGCTTGATCACACAAAAGATAACTAAAGAATACCAACCAGTAACTGGAATTGAACAGGTCCTTTATAAATCTGTCTATTATTTGTCAATGGCAGCGCCCTTATATTAACTATATAAATTAATTTTAGAAATAAAAATCACAAATTTACTTCTCTCATTTGGCCTATAAAATAATTTATCTGTTTGTATATTAATCAGATTTATATCAGGTGCACCAGCTAAAACTGTAGAAAATGGAGAATGACCATCAATCTTTATGGAGACGTAAAAATTTTTAAATAAATTTTTTGATGTGTCGAGTCTGGGTATATTAATTTTAAAGTGTTGTTGTATTCCTTCTAGATTAATATAATTATTAGAGTTTAAGATATAATTAGAGCCCGGACAGTACCGTATTTGAAGGAAGGTCGACCGATAAAATTTTGCAATTTATCGGTACGGGTTTTTTCTGTATTACGGTACGGAATTCGTTACGATAAGAAATTCAGGGCTCTAGTTATAAAAATTATTTTTTAAAAATATTTATTGTAAATCAATCACCCACCCCTCTGGCGAATTGTCTCGCTAAAAATCAGTGTTTTATTTCCATGAATACTTTCGCCTTCAACTCGTAAATTGATATCTACAGACTGAAAATTATGTTACATACATATTTCAAATTTTTAAAAATAATTTTAAAAATAATCAATAAATTTATGAATTCTATCAAATTTTAAACCAACTTTCTCGCTCAAGGTCGACTGTGTAGGAGTGATGTAAATAAAATTGCTTGCGTCCCAATGAAAGATTGAAGGTAAAAGGACTGTTGGCAAATGTTGGGACTTTTGTTGCGACAAATCAACAAAACTAATAAATTGATTTTTTAGAATCTAATTCTTGTCTAATAAGTACCTTATTAATATCCCCACCCTCTCTGTTTGAGTTTCAGTTTAATTTTACTTTTATCATTTACTTTCCTCAAGCATTTTATGATAAGTTAAATCAGGTGAACAAAACAGAGAATTAAAAGGAAACATGTTATTGACCATTCCGAGGCAGAAAAGAAAAAATAGACTTATAAAGCTTGAGGTAACTGAGACACAAATAAGGGAGGGGATATTAATAAAGTACCCTTATTTAAATATGTAGGATTAATTAAATAAATTGATTAACCATGCCAAAAGAAGACAAGTAAAAGTTGAGATCATTTTTTAATAAAAAAATTAATTAGCCGTAGTTTTTAGATTAAAATATGGCAAAGGATTTATTTGTTTTGGGTCTTATTGTTGTCGTTTAAAATTACAAATTATGCAGATTTGGCAAATAGCCAGATTTATTTTTTTATTTTTAGATGTTAAAAAATATGTATTTTAAAAATTCGATAATGGAAACAATCTATAAGATAAATTGACAGGATTTTCCACGAAGGAAATGACGTTTATTAAATAATACTAAAAATTTGATGAATGGTCGATTAAAGGAATGCAAACATTTATATAAATATAATAAAGCATTAACATTCCAAGCATTGAAAAATTATAAAAAAAAGTTTTTAATTTTAAATATCTACTTTGATTTTAAAAGTATTTTTAAGTAGATTTAAAGCGCGAGAAAGATTATAGCCTTCTTTCAAAATAAACAATCTTTTATGAAATAGTAGATGATATTTATTTGTCCTTACTTTAATTTTGAATTTTTAAAATACCGTATTCATCAAATTGAATGCACCTCTCTAATAAAATGCCACTTTGGAAGAGGATTAAAAAATGAATGCCCCGTTTTTAATGCCGAAATTTTTCCGGTAATCCCTAAGAACAAAGGTCCAATGTTCTTCTTCCAAGGAGGATAACGGTGGATTTGGAGGTTGTAAAGGGATTTGGAGAGATATCTGGGTTAGGAGGATACCATGGCATTCTATTGGAGAAAATAGGGTGATTAAAAATAAATGTTTTAATGATTTATACTTATTTTAGAATATGTCAAAGAGAGAGAATTAAAGTAGTGATCAAATTTAGTGTCAGTATTACATATTCAATTAAATTTCGGTCATTAGCCTTAACTTAAAATAATCAACAATTGACAATAAATAAAGCAGATAATCAATAACGTGGATTTGGCTAAAAAATAGTATAGTAAATGATGAAGGGCCATTAAATAATTATTTGAGCAGGAGGGAGGGGAATTTTCTATTTGAGAGAAATATTGCTATAGGCAACTTGAAATAATTAAAAGCCTAAAAAGTTTTTTTGTCAACAATCAGTCAGAGTTGACTTTTAACTAAATAGCTTGTAAATGGCTGCAGGCTGGCTGTTTTTTTTTTTTTGATTGATCGGAGACAGATGGGAAGCAAAAAAATTTTGAAAGGAAATATAAGCCAAATAATAAAGCTCTGGAAATGTTTGGAACGATTTTATATGGGAAATATTATTAATAATAATATTAATAATAGTAATAAGATTATAAATTAAGATAAGCTATGGGAAATTTTAGTTAGGCAATATTTCTCAAATACCAATCTAAAATTAATTAAAAAAACATCACTAAAAGTCTCAATATTTTTTTGTTTTTCAAATTTGTTTTCCAATAGTTTACTCCTAAATCTAATTGTTTTCCATCATAGCTGAACAATCAAAAAACAAATTGATTAATCGTCGGGATACCAAAACAAACACCACACAAATTAATTTATTCGCTGCGCGGATCTATCATACTAGCTAGCGCCTCTGTTTGCCTTTCTCTTATACACAAGGATTTTATTCACAAAAATCCACTCTGTTCATCAAAATAAAAACTTCTACATATTATTTTTTACAAATTGTACAAACTTTTACAATTATAAATTCTTAGTTTTTTACAAATAATTTTTACAAGTTGTAATAATTCGATCCTACGAAATTGGAAATTTTTTATAAATTATTCAAAAATTAAAAAAAAAGACCAAATCTAGGACATGCATTTTTTTAAATCACAAAGTTAAAAAATAATATGCAAATCCATTAAAAAATTGTTATATGTACATACCAATTGAGAGGTATTTTTTATTTTTATACAATACTACTGCCTCTATTCCTTCAAAATCTAAATAAATTGGCCTCGATCCCTAATATAATTTTTTAATTTTTATTTTTTAATGCGGAACCCATCTTTCAAATTTATTTTTTTAGAGTACATTTGGAGGTTGTTGCGACAAAATCGACCCATTTCCTCTGTCATTTTACCTTCACTTTTTTTACTTTACACTTCTACCTTTTAGTGTAAAAATAGCAAGTATTACTAGTTAGTTGGGCCAATCATTAACAACACTATTTTATGTTTTATGTGTTTTCTAATGTCATTTCAAGCTTTTTTTTTCTAATTAAATTATCACAAAATTTTTAAAATAAAATTTAAACAATAAAAATATTTTTTTCTAAACAATTTTCTGAATTCTCAAAGAAAAACATTCATCAACAAAAAATTAATTACCAGCTGCATAAAAATAAATAGTATGTAAAAATATTTTTTATGCTCTGTCCTTTAATACACGCCACAATGAACAATGCATCTATGCTTCGACAGCACCAACATTCTATCTCCGCTTCCGCTATGTCCACCTCACAGCATGGATCGATTGCTCAGCAAACAATAGCTTCGAATGATGGTTAATTAATAAAATTTTGAAATAATTGAAAAAAATAATTGTTTTAAAAGTAAAATATTGGGAAGTTTTTAAAACTCATTTCAAGGTCTTCCGTTGCATATTTCTCCACTTTACGGACCCAACTTTCCCCAACAAAATCCAGTTGCATCTACTTCTATCCAACAAAAACAACAAACATCTGCCAGTTTTGATCCCCGAAATTTGGAAATAAAAACCCATTCAGTTGAACAAACTTTACTACCTCTTGTTCAACAGGTTTAGACTTAATTTTAAAGAAAATAAAAATTAAATTTTAAAGATCTCAACTTTGGTTAATTTTAAAGAAACTATTTTGACTGGAGGAAGACCAAAGTCAGATAGAGCACTTCGAGCAGCTCTTAAAGTTTGCATTAAATTTAATTGGAGTTAGAAACATTTTTCCTTCCTTAAAGATTGGAACAGCAGTAGAAGCGGCTGTTGAACGCTTTGTTGCTGTTGGAGAAACTATTGCAGACGAAAACCCAGATATTCAACCAGAGCTTTATGATGCTTGTCATGAAGCTAGAATTGCTGGTTTTTAACCTTTAAAAAATATTTTAAAAATTTTTAAAGGTTCTTCTATTGCCAATTTGCATGGTTCAATGCTGGCAGAACCAATGCACGATTCCTCTAATTTTCCCGTAGAAAATGGGGGTACTGCAATATTCCCAAATGTTAATACAACACAATTAGTTAGAGCTGCTAGGCAGTTACTTTCTTCTGTTACACGGTTTTTATTTTTGATTTTTTGAAATAATTTGTATAATTATTGGGCTAAATATTGTTAAAGATTGTCGCTTTTCAATCTTTGAGCTTTAAGACACCTATATTCTTAACTTAAGAAAGGATCTTTAACTTAATCTAAAGCGGTTAAGCTGAGCTATTAAGATTTGGAGGTCCAGTTCAAAAAATAACCTTTTTAGTAAAGTAGGTACTTTAAAATACAAATCACTTTTAGTGTTTTACTTTTGGCTGATCGTGTACTTGTTAAACACATTCTCCGAGCTGAAGATAAAATAGCTTATTCTCTTACTAAATTAGAGCATACTTCTAATTTTACTGAATTTGTCCAAATTTTTACTGAATTTGGTGGTCAAATGGTGGATCTGGCACATCGTTCTGGTGATAGACAACAAGATCTGAAAAGTGAAAAAAGGCAGGCACAAATGCAAGTTGCTAGAGCACAATTAGAAAGGCTTACAATGCTTCTATTGACATCCGCTAAAACACTTTTGAGACATCCTGATGACCCTGCTGCTAGGTAAAATATTTGGTTTTAGATTTTTTATGGTCCTTCAAATTATTTTAAGGCAATGCCGAGATGGTGTCTTTCACCAAATCCGTTCTGCATTACAATTAATAGCCATATGTGTAACTGATGGTGTAATGGCCTTTGATGCAATGTCTGCTTATTCCTCTCCTTTAGATGAATTATCACTTGCAACGGTTATTATAAGATAAATTTAAAAATAATTTTGTAAATATTAGGATGGACCTTTGGATATTGGAATACAATTGACAGCTTCAGTTGCGATTAGACAATTGTGTGAAATGGTGAGCATAAGAATAACAATTTTTATCATGTCACCTTTATTTTTAAAGTTGGATATGTGTCGAATGATGTCCTTAATTGGAGCTGGCGTCCGAGAACGTTTAATATCTGCTTTAACCGCCCTTTGCGAAATGAGCACAGACTTTACTGATTCTTCGTGGACACCAAATCAACAAAGAGAACAAATTTTGGATCTATTAGAAAAGTGTAGATTTGAAATGGGAAATTTAGTTAATCCTCCAACATCGGAAATAGGAAATGATGAAAGATTGAGAAATGAAAGTATTCAAGTAACTGTTGAAAGATTGAACAGAAGATTAAAAGATTTACGTAAACAATTACAACTAGTGGCATTAGAACAGGTTAGAATGAAGTAAGGCCGCGTAACGAGGTTCGGATTTCAGGAAGGCTAAGAAGTCGGATTTGGGGGATATGGATCAAGACGATTTCAGGGCCCCTGGATACCCCCTTGGAATGAAAAACAAATTTTTTGAATTCTAACTAAATATTTTTTAGATAGCTTCAGTATTTCGTCAAAACGAAGATCAGACCCTTTTATCATCATTAAAAACTTGTTCAATCTCTGGTGATATAGACGGTGTTGAACGTTTCCTGGAACAATTTCGTATACATTCTGAACATTTACAAGAAGTATTTTAGTAGAAAATCCCCAAATTTAAGCTTAATAATTTAGGTTTGTCGTCTTCTTCATCATATTTCGATTACAGATGCACTCCATGTTTTTACTGGACATGCTGAGAGGAATCTTCGATCATTGGCTCCTTTGGTAAAATATCCTTTGATTAAATAATTCTAAAAGGATTATTTAGACATTATTATCTGGCCGAATTTTATGCGTTCATCCCTCTTCAAGAATTGCACGAGAAAATTTGGAGGTGTTCTGCGATACATGGGCAACTAATGTAAGTGAAATGAATTGATTTCTAAAAAATAATTAAAAGGTCAACGATTTGGCTCGTCTCACAAAGGAAATAGATGCGGCATGTTCCGGTCGTTTAGCAGCTGAAAAACAGGCTTATATGTCACTTCCCAGGCCAGGAGTGAGTAATTTTATGTGGTGGTCTAATAACTATAATACTCCTGGGAGTAGTCCATTATTATCTTCTTCAACACGTTCATCTACAACTGCTAATTTTGCTTCTAATAATCTTTTTTGCAGTGGTTTTGTTAATAATTTAAATAGTTGTGTTAGTGTTAGTGGTGGTGTTTGTCCTCAGTTTCAACAAAATTCTGTTTTGCCTTTTATGCCTCAACAAAACAATTCTGATAATTCTGGTTTTATTTCAAATACAACAACTACTTCGGAATTATTTCAAACTTCTAGTGTTGAGATAAAACCATCTGATACACCAAAACCATCAGAAGAAATTTATGAAGAAAAATCAGAACAAAATAAAGAAACGAATAGTTGGATGTCAAAAAAGGATGCGAAAGTGAAGAAGAAAAAAGAAAGAAATTTGTCATTGGAATCTTCAAAGAATCGGCAACTAGATAAAGAACATTTTTCACCTAAGAATGTTAGTCAAGATGGAAGTTTGGAAGAATTAAAAAAGAAGAATAAAAGTGGAATTAATTTAATGAGTATTTCTGCTATTTTTAGGAGGATTAAAGGAGGTAATGAAGAGGAAACTAAAAAAGCTAAGGATAAAAAGAAAAAGTTGGGTATTGAAAAAGAGGTAAAATCGGATGGAGAATATTTAGATGCTGGAAAATATGAGAAAAATGATATTAAAATTTTTAATGACAACGAACGTGTTAATGAAGATAATTTGAAAGATATTAAACCTTCTAAAGAAGAAAATGAAGATTTTTCAGAATCAAGTCAATCGCTTCAAACAGGAATTGTAAATAAAGATGATCAAAATAATCAAGAGATTGATGCTATTGAGGAAGATACTGCTGATAATAAAGAAACTAACATTAGATCGCATTCACCCCTTTATGCAGAGATTGTGAAACGCCCATCGCTTGAAACGCAGGAGAATGGTGATAAGGTAGGAAATTTCGATATAACTAGAGATTGGGCTGGATATGGATTCAGACATTAATTTTTCTGGATCCTGAGTCGGGATCAAAGGAGTTTTCAGTGTTTTTTGCTTTCTCCTTTACTCAAGGTCAAGGATCTGGATAAGGTCCTCAACAAAAATCAAGAATCAAGGTTAAGGTTTTTAAAATTCATGATCTTTAGATAATATAACTAGGATTTATTTCATTCATGTTTATTAAACTAAAACAGTAAAACTAAAAAATTGTTTTTAAGGCAGAAAGTAAAGATGTAGACGCAACAAAATTATGTCCAAATTCAGCATTTACGCCTTACGATAAGTTTATCAACCAACATCAGGAACAACCGAAAACTTCAACAATTTCTTCAAAATCACCACAAATATTTGTTTATACTTCCCCACCAATTAGAAGACAAAATTTGGAAAATAAAAAAGATTTAAAGAAATCAAAATCAGCAAATGGAATAGTAAAATTTAATCGTACTGGAATTGGATTTGATGAACCTGTAATTTTAAGACAATGGGAAGATTCTGATACAACAACTACAGCGAGTACACAGGTAGAAAATAAATATTTGTGCTTCGATATGGAAGGGTCGGTCTGGGATTCTTTAATTTAAATTTTGGGGTTTATTAAATCCTAAAGACGGTCTATAAACTTTAAATTATTAATTAATTCTATAGAATTTTTTGTTAAGTATTCTTCCAATACAAGTGGCTATGTAACTGAATATTTACATAATTCTGATCACCAGAATCTAATTCAAACAGAAGAAAACAACATTTATACTACCGTTAATAAGAAAAAACCGATAATAGCTCCATTAGCCAAGTGTGATGAAGTAGATGATGATGATGAAGAAGAAGATATTGAATATGAAGAAGAAAATGATGTGACAAGTTTAGAAGAAAATAATCGGAACAATAATAAGAATAATTTTGTTGTTCGAATGAGAGAGAAAAAAGCAGCAAAACTTGATCCTTCAAATAAACATCAAAATGGCAATAATAAATTCGAGAAAAGAATTAGCCAAATTTTAGAAAGTCTGCAAGCTGAGGCAGAAAGTTTAATTCAATTACAGAAAATACAAAAACAACAAGAAAAGCAATAATTTAAATTATTTTTGTAATTTTATTTTGTGTATGTATTGTATTTTTATTTGGTTTGAACTTAAGCTTTTGTGTTTTATTAATATGAATTTAAGTTTAATGTGTTTTATTTATTTTTAATTTTAGTTTGGGTGTGTTGATAAAACTCTGAACTTGAGTTTTTGATATATTTTAGTTTTATTTTGAACATGTTTTGTTGATCCGACTTAATTTTTTGTTTTATTAATAACTTAAGTTTAGTTTTGTTTTTTAAATATTTTATATTATTTTAAGTTTGCTTGTGTTTGTGTTAACTTGAATTTTAAATATTGTTTTTTATTCTTAATCTAGGAGAGAGAAGTGAATTGAATTATTTCCTAAGCTCCCCCATTCTAACCATTCTAAAATAGACCCTCCACGTTGGAGGATAGTTGAAAAATAAAGCCCCATGAGGCTTTATTAAATAAAATATATCTAAACGATTCAGAGGCATGGAACAACTTTCAAACCTACAAAACCAATAACTCTCGACTTGGAAGATCACCAAAAAATTGCTAAAGTTGGGTTAGAAATGAAGCTATTAACAGATGAAATGGAAGCTGAAGCCGAAAATTGGGATAAATATGCGGAGAATGATATTGTTAAAAGAGCAAAGGTATGTTCAGATTTTGCTTAATAAATTTTTCTTATAATCTTCCCAGACAATGTCAGCTATGTCTTACAACATGTATTTATTCACTAAAGGAGATGGTCCATTAAAAACAACACACGATTTGTTCACTCAAGCAGAATTTTTTGCAGAACAAGCTAATAAGATGCATAAAACTGTCAAGGAATTTGCTTTTGAAGTTTTATTAAAAAAGTAACAAACAAGCTAATATTATTTTAAAGGTTCCTGGAAGTGCAGAAAAGAATGATTTATTACAAATATTAGAAAAAATCCCTGTTCATTGTCAGCAATTACAAGTTTTAGTTAAAAGTCCGACTGTTGGGAAGACGGCGACTTTTAATAAAGTACATATTAATTGAATTTAAAACTAAAAAAACAAATTTTATTTGAGGTTGATGCTGTCATTTCTGAGACAAAACGATTAATGAATGAAATAGCCAAGCTCGTTACTGCCTGTTTTGTATGTGCAACTAAGGTATTTTAAAATACTTTCATGAACTGAATTTCTTTATTGCTTAAACTTACCCAGAATGGGATATTTTCAAAGAATCGCACTATACTTTTTCTATAAATATTTTTAAGTTCGAAATAGAATTTCGTGGAAATATTGGTGGCCATACAGCAGTAGAGGGAGATATAATAGGTGAATATTCTTCTCAAAGAGCAAGCCGTGAATCCAGTGCTGTCTGGCGTAGAACCCCAAGTATGAGAAGGTGAAAGTTTACAATTATGGAAATTTATAAAGAATTTTATTTTTGAAGGAATAAAAATTTATTTATTGAAATTAATTTAAATATGTTTTGTTTCATTTTCAGAGCAATTCAACCTCAAACACAACACCAACAATACCTAACAGCTGGTGGACCATCTAGCAGTGAAGGATTATAGAAATTAAAGAATTCTTTTTGAAATAATTCTTTTAAGCATTTGTTTTTATAAAAATAGTTTCAGAAGAGGTTATTAAAATTAAAATTTATTCTTAAATAAAAATAATAAATAAATCACACCAAGGGTAATATGTACATAAAAGAAAATGCAAAAATAATTTAAAAATGAAAATAAATTAAAAATTAAGCTACTATTTACATGATGAATCCTATTATGTATACTTTGTTGAAAAACTAAAGATTCTGTCTGTAAATAATCCAGAATTTCTTTCATTATTATCAAATATTTTTTCATTCACCATTTTATAGAATATAGTTTGCTGTCTATTATAGTCGAATATTTTCCCAATAGATAATACACATTCTGCATGTCTCATTGCTCCTTTAAAATTCCCCAATAAATTTTGTAAATATTTCATTAATATTTGTCCATAACGTTCTGCCTCTAATTTTAATAAATTTTTGGAATTTTGACTGATGTTTTCTGGTATTGAATTACAAAATAATATTGTTTTGAGTAAAACATATTCTTGTTGTGTTAAATTATAGGGCTTAAATTCTGATATTATATCAGTAAATGCTCGTCTTCTCAAAACTTGATATCTATAAATTAATAAAATTAAATACAATCGAATGTGTCAGATAGTGTCGCTTGTATATAGGCTCCCAACATAAAGCCGATTATAAGGCAGATCCGGATTTATGTAGGGCATTAAGGTAATTACTTAAAAATCAAAGAAAATTACCTCTTCAAATCTTCTCCAGTGAACATTTTTTCAAACAAATTTTTACAAAAATCGCCTAGATGCAATCCATTTGGATATGTAACTGATGATTCTCCCATTTGTACAGATTGAAAACAATTTGAGAGAGTTACTAGACGATGGATATTTGAGCGAAAGAGACAGATCTATAAAAAATTTTACTTCTTAGAAATGGAGGAGGGTGATAAAAATTCAAACAAAGTTTTAATCTTTACCTTATCTTCAAATGGAATTTTATCAAAAATAGGTAATTTCCTCATAATTTCAATTTCCAAAAGAAAATCCAAATTTTGATAATTTCCAATAGTTGGGAGATTTTTTCCTTCTTTAAATAAATTTTCATTTATAATCAACTGTTTGCCATTCTTAAGATAACAATTTTAAAAATTAAAAAAAATTTAAATTTTCTACCATTCCAAAAAGTTCAATAAAATCCAATACATTCGTTTTACTTTCAATTAAATTTTCCAAACTTTTTGTAAATAAATATTCTAATAATAAATTATTTGGAGATTGACGTAATTTTACAGCTTTATTTTCTGTTGATAACAACATTTCCAAATCAACGTCAAGTACATTTACATGTTGAGGAACCTTTGAAAATATTAATGCTATTCTAGGAATATTTACGTATACCGGAAATGCTGAAATAATTACCCTCTCTCAAATAATTGACCCTTATTTTTAGGAAATATTAAAAATAATCATTACGAAGGCTAAAAAATTACGTAGGCTAAACAACTCTCTCACCTCCTGCCTTTTAATTACCCCTCCATCCAAGGGTTGAAACAATTATTACCCAGGATAATTATTTCAGCTTATACGGTAAGTTCATTAAAACAAACATTAGTTTTAATCATATTATCATTTGCATTGTAGATAATGCTATTACGAACATCTGTTAAATTATTTTGAGGACCCTTTAAATGTCTTGCAATATTATTAGCCATTAATTCTTTCCTTTTCTTAGATAACCATTCTTTCATTTTTTGAAAATTATAACCAGCCGGAAATTGAATTAAAGAAATATCCATATTTTCTTTTACACATGTATCAAAGCGACAGGAACGACATTTTTCTCCTAAAAATTGAAAGTTGGACCGAATTTTGCCAAAATGTTTGGCCTATCAAGGGAATTGTTTGAGAGAATCCGGAGGAGTAATGTTTGAGAGAATCCGAAGGAGTAACAATAGATCAAAATGGATTTCTAAATGATGAAGGAAACTGTTGTGTTAGAGGGCGAGATTCGACTGTAATTATGAAAAATGGTCAATAATTCACAAATAAAAATACTTCGCAATTTAAAAAGCTTTTCAAAACACACCTTTTTTTGTTTGGCATTTTCCTCCAGATTTGCAACGAAACACTTTTAGACTCAAAACTGATCGACGGAAAAACATTCGGCAGGCTTAATAAACAATTTACAATTATAAAATAATTTATTTTTGTAAAAAATTAAAAAAAAATTAATTGATAGACCAACTATTTCTTAAAATTGAGATTGTTCATTTTCAATTCAAATATTAAAATCCTACCGTGACAACATTTAACTCCAAAATTGTGACATTTTGCCTCTTGACCGCAAACCCGGCAGTCTGAGAATTCTTTCCTGATAATCTTTCCAACATTTAAATGTTCATCTGATTTTGAGTTGTTGTTTTGAATAGTATTAGTATCCAAATTTGTTACTTTGGTAACTGATGTTGGAGTTTTGGTTAATTGAGAAGATGGGAAATATTGAGCGGATGAATAGGATGAAGATAGTATTACACACGGTGGTGAAGTTGACATTACAAAAAATTCTTTGGAATAAATAATTCTAAGATAAGTTTAAATTTAATTTTTTTATATTAAAACTGGCAACTTAATATTTATAAGAATTATTAAATTACGATTAAAATTTAAGTTGAATTTTATCTTAATTTTTATTAAAAATTATCCTAAAAAACATAGCCAGAAAAAAACTCACGCATAAGTGTGAGTGGGAATTTATAAGGATTTATTTGAGGGTTGTGAACGGTATCAGAATTCAGAATAAAAAGTCGCAGTTTGTGGCGTAGGGCAAACTCCAATAAAAATTTTTACTTCATAAAACAATTTTTAATAAAATTCTTTAAACAAAATTTTTAATTAAATAAAAATACATTTACATATATATGCATGCTCCTTGAATAATTGAGAAATAAAATTTGAATCTGATGTTAATATTATTTGTTTAAAATTTTATATGTATATAGCTGGCATTAATGGGAATAAAATTAAAAAAAGAGAGAAGGTGATAAAGGGAGAGAAGAGAGAAAATAGGCAAATTTTGGGTAATTGGAAATGATCTTAAATGTCTATCTAAGACGAAAAAAAGATTTAGGGGAGACCAAATTTATTTAAAAGAGATCATTATTTCGAAATTTCGAATTTGCTTTTGTACTTTTGTACTTTATAAAACATTTAAACAAATTTAATTTTAATTTTAATTTAATCTTAAAAATTAATTTAAAAGAAATCCCTCTTTATAGTAACGAAAATGCCCTATTAAAAGGGATTTACCAAAAGAATTTTCGGTAGCACATAAACAATAAGTAACTACTATAAATTAAAGTTTAATCTTATTGTTAGTCTAATAATCTATTTTTTATAAACATGATATATCAAATACAGATTTAACAGATGAAGAGATAGAGATTTAAAAGATTTTTGACAGTGTTACCATAAACTTGTAACGATGTCAAAAACATTGAACTTTTTTTTCAAGATAATTAATGGCCAGTTTATTAAATTCGAGATCAGAAAAGTTCGAGGAACTATGAAAAATAAGTATTTCTCTTTATCTGAATCTTGATGCAATAAAAATCAAGTTTTGGCAAGAAAAGAGAACGGGAAGGGAATAATATTGAATTAAAAATATAATGCATATAAAAACTTATAATAAATAAAAATTTCAAAATTTTGGTAGGATTATAAAATCAAAAATCAGAACACAAAATCATAAAAAAGAAAGAATGAATAATATGTATTCTTGCAATAATAATCCCCAGTTTGTGATTAGAAACAATTTTAGAATTTTTACCTCATATATGTACAATAAAATGGCCTATAATCCGTTTTTGCAATAATTATTTTCATATACAATTTTAAATATGTATTTGTGCATGTATTATATTTTTTTATTTGAAGACAACTAAAAAATAAATAAAAAATTTACTTCATGGGAGAAGAGACAAGGGGTGCGGAGAAATTCATACTAATAGAGGATCGGATATCCGCACTGAGATAAGAACCGAAAATTTCCGAATATCAGGATCCGACGACAAAAGTTTTAATATTTAAGACTTCAGACCAAATTGCTTATAACAAAAAATATATACAATACCGATTTAATAAAAAATTAAAGAGTTAATAATGTTAGTTTTTTATTCTTATAAAAATAAATAAATAAAGCAAGGTTAAAAAATAAATAAAAAAAACAAATAATACATACATAAGGCACAAAAAAGAAATAAAATAAATAATAAAGTATGTATTTATGTATCAGGGGTCCTACTTATTCGACTGAAAAGCTAAATTCTCGATTCAGGAAATTTGGAACCCGACCCAAAAAACGTCGGTGATCCCTGCTATGAATGAATTTTAAGACGAATTTGAAAATTAATTTGGAAATTTAAATAAGCATTGTTCAACGAATATTGGTCTTTCCATAATTAAACAAGAACTTCTTACATTATTACCAAATATTTTTTCGTCAACCATTTTATAAAATATATTTTGTTGCATATTATATTCAAATATATTTCCAATAAATAATAAGCAATCTGCATGTCTCATAGCCCCTTTAAAATTCCCCAATAAATTTTGTAAATATTTCATTAATATTTGTCCATAACGTTCTGCCTCTAATTTTAATAAATTTTTGGAATTTTGGCTGATATTTTCTGGTATTGAATTACAAAATAATATTGTTTTGAGTAAAACATATTCTTGTTGTGTTAGATTATAAGGCTTAAATTCTGATATTATATCAGTAAATGCACGTCTTCTCAAAACTTGATATCTATAAATTAAGTTAAAAATAATTAAATTGTCATGGGGGAAATTTGTTAAATTCCTTGTAAGTTCAAAAAAATTACTTATTAAAATCTTCTCCAGAAAATATTTTTTCAAACAAATTTTTACAAAAATCGCCAGGATGTAATCCATTTGGATATGTAACTGATGATTCTCCCATTTGTACAGATTGGAAACAATTGGAAAGAGATACTAGACGATGGATATTTGAGCAAAAGAGGCAAATCTTTAAATTTTACTTTTTAGAAATGGAGGAGCTTGATAAAAATTAAAAAAAAGTTTAAGCTTTACCTTATCTTCAAAGGGAATTTTATCAAAAATAGGTAATTTTCTCATAATTTCAATTTCCAAAAGAAAATCCAAATTTTGATAATTTCCAATAGTTGGGAGATTTCTTCCTTCTTTGAATAAATTTTCATTTATAATCAACTGTTTGCCATTCTTAAGATAACAATTTTAAAAATTAAAAAAAATTTAAATTTTCTACCATTCCAAAAAGTTCAATAAAATCCAATACATTCGTTTTACTTTCAATTAAATTTTCCAAACTTTTTGTAAATAAATATTCTAATAATAAATTATTTGGGGATTGACGTAATTTTAAAGCTTTATTTTCTGTTGATAACAACATTTCCAAATCAACATTAATTTTTTCAAGTATATTATTTGGCAATAATTGAGGTAACTAAAATTTTAAAATATATTTAATTCTTTTATATATTCAAATAATTTCAAAAAAATGATGTCAATGTTATTTTTGACATATAAAGTCATTCGAACGGTAATAGTGCCATAATGCCGTTTGAATAAAGGATATAAGCCTTTGGATATAAGCCTAGAAAATTCCCATTGATATAATATTTTCCTCGATACATTTTATTTCAGCCAATACATGACCTCTTTAAATCCATAAAGGAAAGTTAAAGCCTCGAAGGTTACTTAGGAAAAAGGCATGCAAATATCATGAAGGTTAATTAGGAAGCTTTTTTTGCATTAAAAAATTAATTTTATTTTAATAAATTAATAGATACATTTGTTTTAATTATATTCCCATTATTATTATCAATAATATTTCCATTATTGTTACAGTTGCTAATTAATTTTAAATTTTTCATCATATTTTGTTGTCCACTCAAATGTTTAACAAAATTATTAGGCATTAATTCTCGCCTTTTCTTAGATAACCAATCCTTCATTTTTTTAAAATTATAACTTGAAGGAAATTGAATTAAAGAAATGTCCAAATTTTCTTTAATACAGGTATCAAGGCGACAGGAACGGCATTTTTCTCCTTTAAAAAATTTAGAATGAAAATTTTTTATATGGAAATAACCTTTGCGCGTTTGACATTTTCCGCCAGATTTACATCTAAATTCTTTTAGGCTCAAAACTGATCGACGGAAAAACATTCGGCAGGCTTGAAAAAATAAAATAATTATTAAATTTAAATTTTTTTGAAATAATTTGTAGCCATGCTTAGCTAACTAAAACCAAAGTTAAGTTTGAGGCAAATCTCTTGACCTATTAATTTCAAGATTTGCTTGAATTTCAAATTCCTTTTCAAAGATTTTTTATTTCAAAAAAACTTTAATTTTAAAATTTTTCTGAAATCCCATGCCTAAAATTAAAATACTTTTTAAATATATTTTAAAAGTTGATTCAAGTTCTATTAATATTTCTCCAAGTTACTCATTTTATTTTTAATAATTTACCATGGCAACATTTAACTCCAAAATTGTGGCACTTTGCCTGCTGGCCACAAACTCTGCAGTCGGAAAAAAAAGATTTTGGATTCCTTTTTTCATTCAAATTTTCTTTTGGTTTTTCTTCTTGATTAGCTTCTTGAATTAATTGGGTATTGTTGTTTAAATCTTTTGAATTATTTTGAAAGGTGGAAGGGTTGTTTGGGGGATATAGGGTTGGAGGATATACATGGGAAGATGAAGCTAATAACATTGAGAGGAAAGTTTGAATTAATTTCAAAAAATATTTCTAAAAATTTAATTAAATTTTAATTTTAAATTTGTATGGAAATTAAATTTTTATTTGGATTTATTAGATATCAAGCAATAAAATAAATATTTATCGAAGTAAATATGGAGGAATATTAATCAAAAATGCTCAACATTTTATTAAATTGTAAAGCTAAGCATACAAAAATCCAAAAAAATTTTTTTAAACATTTTTGGGATATTATAAGCTAAAAATAATTTTTTAAAACAAAATTTAAGAACGATAAAAATTCTTGTTTATAAAATATTAAACATTTTTATATTTTATTTAAATATTTACATTAAATGAAATAATCCAAAAAAAATCTTGGTTTATTTATGCAAATATTTATTTATTATTTGGTATAAAAGTTTGTAGTTTGTTAAGTATAAATTGATAAAATTAAAAAAATTGTTTATGTACAATAAGTAACAAAAAAAAGTTGATTTTTTGATAATAAACAGATGAGAATTTAAAATAAAAATATCAAGATTTAAAATTTGTACATAAGCTCAGGGATGTTACGGGTTATACGGAACCTGATCCAAAAAATTATCCAAAACCCGACCCGATTTTTCCCCTCTTAATCCTTCTAACTGAAACAACCTGAAACCAAAATAAGACTTTTCGATCCGAAACCCATCCAAAGAAATCAACTCGTGAGATCCCGTTTATCCGCGATGCACTTAATGATGTCTTAATGAACTATATGCAAACACGCATGCTTGGGTAATTAGATTTCTGGTTTTAGAGTGATAATTAAATTATAAAAGGAGAATGACCTCTGGCTAGAGTGATTCGGAGCTTAAAAGTCTAGACAGGAAAAAGATTGAGTTGTGAGATTTATTATAGTTAGATAAAGTTTTATTTAGTAAAATGACTTAAGCGATAATTTTAAATAAAAAGGGAGAGAATTTTGTGAGGGGAAGGTGAATGTAAAGCATTGACAATAATTAAATAAATTTTTATTTAATGCCCAGGATTCTTCTAAAATAAAAAAGAAAGGGAGAGGAAAGTATACATAGGCATAAAAAAGTGAACTAAAATGATCTGATGTGTGATCTCTTTAAATAAAATGAACCATGAAATAATATCTCTTTTAACTTTAATTAAATTTTATCTTGGTGACTGGTAAAGTTTAGATCTTTTTAAAAATATAATTTTGAAAGTGTTTTTTAATTTCAAAATTCACTATTAAAAACTGGGGTGGGAGAGGGTCATAAAACAAATTAAGTGTTTGATTACAAGTTTATATTTTTGAAACCCATACGAGGACAACTTTAAGGCCACAGACTTATGACATCTTATTAACTTAACCAAACGCTCCCTAGGCGGAATAAATTTCCATATCCCAACTGGAGCCAGGTTTGATATATACATATCCCACCTAAATAAAGAACGGAGCCGCCCTTCGAATGATATTTAGCAATAATATTTTTTCCAACAAGATTTTAAATTAAAAAAAACTTTAAATAAATATTACTGCTATTACTCAAACAATAATTTAAAATAGAAATGGAGAGAGAATTTTGTGAGAGGGGAATGTGTGAAGCATTGACAATAATTAAATAAATTTATTCAATGCCCAGGATCCTTCATAAATAAAAAAGGGAGAGAGAGTAATAATGTGAACTAAAACGATACTGATGTGTGATCTTTTCTAATAAAAAGAACCACGAAACAATATTTGTTTTAGCTTTTTAGCTGTCATTAAATATGTTGGCGCTTGCTAATGTTTGGATTTTTCTAAATGTTTCTATTTAAAATTTTTTTAAATTTTAATTAAAAAGCTTTTCAAAATTTTGATTGATTAATAAAAAGAAGTGGAGGGATGGGATTTCAAATTCGGCGGAATTTTGTTTTTTTCATACCCAGGGTTTCGTAAGACTTAATTTGGAAACAAAATAAATGAATATTATTTTATTATATTTATTTTGTGCTCATGATTTTTCAAAGGTTATTAACAGCCGGTCATCACCAAATATTGAAAAATTAAAAAAAGTAAAACAATTATTGTTTAAAAATATTCAAAAGATTGTTTAGAGTTATTTAAAGATACGGATTTTTAGGATCTGGCGGTTTGAGTAGGTATATTGATAAAACCCGGATTTTTGAGCTTCGGTTTTTAATTGGAAAATTAAGAAAGAAAATAATTAATATAAAAATCTTTTTTTCGTTAATAAATAAAAATAAGAAATAAAAAATGCATGTTTTTGTAGTCTATAAAGATCCCGACCATTTTATACATAAATAGCTATATTCACCTGCAACTATAATTTGGGAGAGAGAAAGGAATGAATGAGTAAAAAAGAAAGAGGAAAGAAAATAGTTAAACAATTTTAAATTAAAAATTTATAAATAGAGGTGTCTGAAAAAAATTAAATTATAATTAGACATAAATAAAAAATATAAAAAGTAATTCTAAAATATTTTTTTAAGAAAATTGACTGAAATTAAATACAGCATAAAATGCCAGACCAAATAATGCTTAAAAGGCACATTAACAATAGGTTTATGTTGTTACTTATGAAACCGAGCAATCGTTCACTTACATGAAACGCGGGCCGCAAAACCTGAGGGGGGCTTAAAACGAGCATCTTGTTAATTCCAGTTGTCAAAAATGGGCATTATTTGGATTTGGCAATTTATTGTGGAGCTAACAAAAATATAAACGGAAATGAGAAAAATCAGAGAAAAAAAAGTTAGAGAATAAGAGAAGGTTATTTATAGGATTAAAATTTAAAAAAATTAAAAATTAAAAAATAAACATACAAAAAAATGAAAATATTTATTTCAAAAATTACTTATATTATTATGTAGGGATTAATTTTAATCTTCTATTTATATTTTTATGATTAAATGCAAAAAAATACTTTTATAAAAAACTACAAATATTGGGAAACATACATACATATCTAAAGAAATTTTGGTAAATTTTTATAAGTAATTTGTGCATTAAATTGTATTTTGTGATATTTTATTCCTCTTTTGTGCTTAAAAAATGTTTGTTTTGTACATAAACTCTTTTAAATTTATAACGCTAAAAATATTCACATGATATGGAAGAGAACTATTTTAAGGATCTTGACATTTTTCAGAAATACTTTAATAAAATATTAGATAAAAGTTATACCAAACGATTTTTTGCTTGGATCCTTAGATATCCCTTTTATGCCGGCTAGATACCTGATACATAGTTTAATGAAACACAATTTATTTGAAAACACAAATACAATTTTTATCAAAATAAAAAAAATATTCTCTGGAAAAAATCTTAAGCATTATTTAGAAGGAATTGATTATTATAAATATATATTTGTTCATCTGTTATAAATTCAAATAATTTTATGAAAAAATTTGTCATTTACATCAAAAAAGATCAGATTCACATTTTTAGAAGAGAAGTTTTTTTCTATTTTATTGCCATTAATTTCTCTTTTTTATCTCGAATACTATTTCCAAATATGTAATTCTTGGAATGTTTGAATAAGCTATAATTTTTTTACTTTAATATTATTATGTCTCCCTCATCTTATTTGAAATTGTCATTCAATTTATTTACGGATTTCTATTTAAACTATCTCTTGCCTATATTATATGCTTATTAATAAACCTATAAATATTTCGAATCCAAAATTTTTTTCGAAACTTTATTTCCAAATTTAAAATGCCAAATATAAGTAGTCAAAATATCCAAAAAATAATAAATCATTGTAGAAATTCTGCGAGATCTCTAACAATTAGACAGAATAATCTATTAAAGTGTAATATATGTGCCCGTCAAATAGGATGTCGTAAATCTAGAGTAAAATGCTGTCATGGTAAATTTTTCAATTTTTTATTTAAGAATTGTTAAAATAACAAACGATAGGAAAATCGAAAGCATATTAATACGAGTTAAACAAAAGTTATCTTATGTTGATTCTCTATTGATAAAGAAATGTTTCTATTCTATTGATAAAGAAAAATAAAGAAAATCTATTGATAAAGAAAATGCTTAAATTAATTCTATTATAATTTAAGCTTGCCGAATGTTTTTCCGTCGAACAGTACGTGGATTAAGAGCTTATAAATGCAAACATGAAGGAAATTGTGAAATTACTAAAGGTGGAAATTAATTTTAAAAATTTTCCAATAATTATTCTAAAAATTATTTAAGGCTCAAAATGTCGTGCTTGTCGCTTAAAAGCATGCCTTATAGCTAAAATGGATGTTAAACATAAATTGTCTAAAACTATAAACCCATCGGCTTTAGAAAAATGGGTGGAGAGTTATAAATTTAAAAATGAAATTGTAATTGAAGAAAAATATCAGCCTAATTATAATGTAATTATTAATTTTTATTGTACAGTATAGGTCTGCCTTTAAAAATCTCTGTTGACTAAAAGATTTTTTGAGACATAATATAGCTGTGCGGCTTTAAAGTAATAATTTGAGCAACTCAAAATAAATCTATTGCTACCTTATAGCAAATTTCATGTGCTTTCGAATACGCCCAAACTAAAAATTTTCAAAATTTAAATAAATGAAAATTAAGCTCGTTCTTATTGAAATTTTATTAATTTCAGTTACCTCAATTATTGCCAACTAGTGATATTGAAAAAATTAATGTTGATTTGGAAATGTTGTTATCAACAGAAAATAAAGCTTTAAAATTACGTCAATCTCCAAATAATTTATTATTAGAATATTTATTTACAAAAAGTTTGAAAAATTTAATTGAAAGTAAAACAAATGTATTGGATTTTATTGAACTTTTTGGAATAGTAGAAAAAAATTTTTTTTTATTTCAAAATTATTATTTTAAGAATGGCAAACAGTTAATTACAAATGAAAATTTATTTAAAGAAGGAAAAAATCTCCCAACTATTGGAAATTATCAAAATTTGGATTTTCTTTTGGAAATTGAAATTATGAGGAAATTACCTATTTTTGATAAAATTCCCTTTGAAGATAAGGTAGAGACTTGAACAAAAAATATTTGAATTTTTATCTTCTTCATTTTCTAGAAAGATTTAAAAGTAAAATTTAAAGATTTGTCTCTTCCGTTCAAATATTCATCGTCTAGTAACTCTTTCCAATTGTTTCCAATCTGTACAAATGGGAGAATCATCAGTTACATATCCAAATGGATTACATCCTGGCGATTTTTGTAAAAATTTGTTTGAAAAAATATTTTCTGGAGAAGATTTGAATAGGTAATTTTCTATGATTTCTATTTAAATCTAATTTATAGATATCAAATTTTGAGAAGACGAGCATTTACTGATATAATATCAGAATTTAAGCCTTATAATCTAACACAACAAGAATATGTTTTACTCAAAACAATATTATTTTGTAATTCAATACCAGAAAATATCAGTCAAAATTCCAAAAATTTATTAAAATTAGAGGCAGAACGTTATGGACAAATATTAATGAAATATTTACAAAATTTATTGGGGAATTTTAAAGGAGCTATGAGACATGCAGATTGCTTATTATCTATTGGGAAAATATTCGACTATAATAGGCAGCAGAATATATTTTATAAAATGGTGGACGAAAAAATATTTTATAATAATGAAAGAAGTTCTGGATTAATTATGGAAAGACCAATATTTGTTGAACAATGCTTATTTAAATTTCCAAACTAATTTCCAAATTTAGTATACATATATAGCAGGGATCCCGACGTTATTTTTTGTGCCTTAATATTTTTTAAATAATTTATTTATTATACATATTTATTGCAATACTAATTTGTATTGTCTCCAAAATTACATTTATTTATTTTGATTTATTGTGATTATTTTTGAACTAATTATTATAAAATATTAAATAATAAATATCGGAAAGAAAATAAATTTATTTAAAAATAAGAACTTTATTCAGTAACACTCTTACAATTAAATTTTTTATAAAGGAGCAAAAATTAAAAAATAATTAATGCTTTTCCCATCAATTCTTGTTGAACGAATTTGAACGTAAAAGTGAAATTTGCTCAATCAAAATAGTGTTACTTTTTAGACAGCAAAAAATTTTATTTTCATTAAAAATATTTTTATCAATAAAACTTGATTATAAATTAACATTTGTTAAATTAGTAAAGTTTTGCTATTTATAAAGGCTTTATAAACTAGGAAATTCTACTGAAATTATACCTTAACTCTATTATTTATTAATAAAATTGCCTAACTATGAATGCTTCAATTAAGCTTTTTTTCTTACTTATACTTTTCAATATAAATTCATGCTGTTCCTCTTCGAATGAGAAGTATGCTTTTAACTTTTTAAATTCTTTAATTTATGTTAGCCTTATCAATTTTTGCCTTATCAATTTTTGATCTTCTTGGGGTCTAGTCTTGGTCTTGTGTCTTGAGCCACGGAAAATTCTCGATCTATTACAGTGAATGAGTGAGTGTACATTGAACTAATTCTAAAAAATTAAGAGTGCTTCGATCTAGACGTTATGATTATTCAAATTGGCATTGCTGTCATTATTCATATATGCCAGCTGCAAGTTCTTTTACTACTGGCGGTGGTGGTGGCGGATTTAATGGAAATGGCGGAGGTGGAATTCAATCAGTTGTGAATGTTTCTCCATATGGAGGGATTTCAACTACTTTTACTGCTGGTGGTGGAGGAGGAGGAAGTGGAGCAGGATTTCAAAGGGTAACAGGTCCTGGAGGAACTGTGGTAGTTGCAGCCGGTGGAGGAGGTGTTGGAAATGGTTATGGCTATGGATACGCATGGGGAAGAAGAATATGAATTATTTTTTCATTACATTTTTATTTGTTTAACATAATAAAACAACATTTTTTATCATAAAAATCCAAACAATCTTCCTTCATTCGAAGTCATAGCCGTCTTTAAGCAAAGTAACTTTTTTCAATACATGATCACCTCCATAAAGAACTGCTGATAAATTTCGAAGATCTTTTTCAGCATGATGCATGTACTCATAATTTTTTCCGTAGGGATTTGAAATTACAACCTAAAAATCTACAGTTTAAATATATGTTGTTATTATTATTTAAGTACCTTAATCGTATTATTTTGCAATGCAAAGAAATCAAGTTTAAAATTGTTGTCGGTTTTAAATTCAATAACATCGAATCCTGGTGTGACATAGATCTATAAATTAACATAGTTAATAGAGGAATTTAAGAATTCAACCGTTTATTAAATAAAATTAATGGCTTAAACTTTTCTAGCCCTTTCTTTCTTTAAATTTTAATAATATTTTAAAAATTATTATCGTTGATGATTAATATATTTAATTATCGTACGTATTCCAATGTGCTGAATTGAAGATAAAAGTATCCCTCTTCAGACCCCCACTCGTTCGAACCAAACAGAGCAATTAAAAAATACTTGTTGTGCTTTTCAATTTCGATTTCAATATGCTTTGGAGGAAGAAAGCCAATACCATAACAATCACCAAAAGAAACTCTTTCATATTTCTATTTAGTTATTGAATTTAAAAATTTTAATAAAAATTTTCTAACCAAATTCCTATATACAAATGGTGTACCGTCTGGTGGGCAAGTTGGGGAAGGGGTTGGAGGAGTATTATGCTTTTCGTAATCATCTGTTGATGAGTAAAAGAACAATGAGAAAAATAAAATGGATGGAATTACAAAATACATCAAGAAAATATTTAAATTGATTTCTGATTTTAAGGGTAAAATGAATTTTAAAAATTATATGAAGCTTTGGAAACTTTTATCAATATTTAAATATGTCAACAATCATTTTCTCAATTATTTTATTTTGTCAACAAAACATCATTCCACGTAGCTCTAAACGTTTTATTCTTAAACTAAATTTACATCCTCCTTAGGAGTTGTTGTAATTATAAAGAATCAAATAAATATTTATGTAAACATTCTTTATTTTTGCCTATAATGATATCATTAAATAAATGTCTGAATTTTTATGGGAGAAAAAAACTAAAAAATATTTATCATAAAATACTTAGGTTGTAACATAAGTTTTGATACCCGAGCATGTTTTTTCGATGAATACTTTATGGATATGGATGTTCTATATACCAATCGAAAGCTTAATTCGTATCTCGTTTGACATGTTTCAGCGTTTTTTAAAAAAATTTAAAACTTCTTAGATATACACTGATAAATGGGATATAGTCGGATATGCCAAATCCGGATCTGGCTATATAAATTTTTTACAAAAGATCAATTATTTTATTACTATTCCGTGGATTTTTCTGAGTTAGGATAAAAAAACAAAATTTAAAAATTTTGTGTCTGAGCAGAGATATGATTTTTTGAAAATCACATATTTTTTAACATTTTTGTCAAAAGTGTGACAAAATGAGAAAAATTGCTCTTAGCGACCAAATAATTTTACAAAAAAGTGAAAAATTCCCGTTTTTTAAAAATTCATATCTTGGGTTAGGAAAAAGATTTGTCCCTGATTTTTTTTGATTCTGGCTTCTAAAATTATTGTGAATAATCAACTTATGTTAGATCTTTTGTAAAAAATTTATTTAGCCGTATCCAGATTTGGCATATCCGACCATATCCCATTTATCAGTGTATATCTAAGAAGTTTAAAATTTTTTTTAAAAACGCTGAAACATGTCAAACGAGATACGAATTAAGCTTTCGAATGGTATATAGAACATCCATATCCATAAAAGTATTCATCGAAAAACATGGTCGAGTATCAAAACTTATGTTACACCCTAAGTAATATAATTTTAAATTATAATCCAAAAGGGAAATAAAAAGAATTTTTAAGCTTTATCTGCTAAGATTATATGAAGCATATACATAGCTATTAAATTCCTAAAGCTATGCAGTAAGCGGCGTGGTGTAACGGATAACACATCAGTCCGGTTAACACTCGCATCTACCGAATAAACTTTTGTAGTAGCTGGAGAAAGAAATAGCTATGTATAGTCCAGCTCAGCTTTAATATTCCATTTATGTTAAAATTTGCTTGAAACTTGTTCTAATTTTCAGATTCAATATGAATTAGCATTTCACAAACTATCTTTAGAACATTTAAGATATTTTGAGCAGCCATGATCAGAAACTGAAGCTATAAAGAGCTCGAGAGCTATTATAATGTTTAGTAAAAGAAAGTCTAGACAATTTATTTTAATTTAACAAACATAAAATAAATATCATATGTCATTATTATGTAATTTATTTCGCAAGCATGCTCAATAAATCGACTATTTCTTCATATTTATTTTATATATTTTTAATTTTTGCTTTATAAAAATAATTTATTTAGTTTTTTATAAATAAAATTTAGCTAATGACATTCAGCAGGATTGTTTGTAAGTCTTTTTCTTATTAGAATTCTTATTAAATATTAGTGACCTATAAATTATCTTCAACAGATTAGGATCTAGGAAATCGTTCAAAGGGAAATTTTTATGGAGGGGACAATGAAGATTTTAATGAAAAATACCTACTAAATACCTACTAAAAATACAGTTTACTATACATTATCTTAATTTTCAGTCCTACAAATCATCCTACTTTATCCATTAGTTGATGCTTTAATCCGTTCGACATTTCTTGATGATATTCCAAAAAACGAAATAAAAAAGTATGAAGAAATAAAAAAGACAGAATTTAAACATAATATAAGTATTTTATCAACTGAAGCTAAAGTAGCTTTAATTTCTTCACTTTCCGTAAAGCAAAGTTTAGAAAAAAATGTTGAAATAGCTTTAGATAAATTTAAATTAAATAATAAACTTGTTGATAAAATAATTGAAAGAATTGAAAGTTTGGCTAATTTGATAGGGGAAGAAAATGGAATGTCATTTGATGATTTTACTGATAAAATTGGAAATAAATTGGAAAATTTTCATACATACGGGTTTAAATTCATCAAAAAAAGTTTTGAAGAAATAAAGAATGAAGTTGAGGTAATAGTTAAATTAATAAAATATGCATGCAGAAATGATATGCGAAATAATTTATTTCAAATTCAAGGAAACAAATTATACATATCAAACAAAAGTATTTCATTTCTTCTATTTATGGATTTGGAATTTAATTGAATTCCTGGACAAAATTAAATTTTTGGACGAAGATATTGATAAAAGAATGTCATTTGTTGAAAAGCAGGACATTTTTGCTTGTTTGCCTGGCTATATTTCTGAAATGACTTTTGCTGATTGGTTACAAAATAATGTTATTCGTGTACTTGAGCTAAAGTTTTATCCACATGTAAGAAGGAAATATAAGACAATTTCGATTTTATATAGGACCATTTATAGAAAAAATAAATTAGTACAAGGTTGAGTTACCGTTCGACTTTTGTCTATAATTAAGTATTTTAATAATATTTAATCTTGAAAATTTTTTAGATAAAATTTAACAACATTAATCAGGCCAAATATATCGTAAAGACAAGTGTTATCAATTTATTACCGGTTGCAAACAAAAAAGCAACTTCCTATATTGAAGTTTTACAACTTGATAAAATATTTAAATTTAATAATAAAAACAATAATTTGGAGCAAAAAGAAATTATTTTAATTTTTGCTTCAATTATGTTAATATCCAAAAATATATCTTTAAATTATACAGAAAAGTTTAAAGTATTTGAATTATTTGAAAAAGAATTTTTAAATTTTGTTTCAATATCGGAATATTTAAAAGACGAGTATGAAAGAATTTTGGAAATTTTGAAAGAGTATTTTATTGAAAAAGTGCGAATAGATTCTAAACAATTGGAAATTAAAGTTATCAATTTTTATATTAAAGTTTTTGAAAAATATCAATTGTTGGAGTGGGTTAAAGTGTTAATTGATGAATTAAATAATGAAGTTACATCGCTAAATAGCACAGGTATAGGTATTTAATTTGAGAGAAGGAGGATTCTAAGGAAGAGGTTTTCTTGGAATTGGAGAGCCAAGAGAGACTTACTGTTTAAAGGCTACATGAACCTAGCCCAGCATTAAGCAGTTGCTTGAAAAGGCCATGAAAACTGCAATTAAAAAAATTTCAGGTAAAGGAAGGCGAAGAAGTAAAATCGTGAATGTAAATTGTAAAGAAGATTTGTACATAGATGATCCATCTTGGGAATTTATTGAAGTAAATGGTTATTAAGAATTATTATTTTTTTCAAAATTCAGAATTATGGGATTTAAATTTTTATTATGGGAAAAATTTTTTTTTAATTTTTTCCGATTTTTGTCTTTTTTTAAATTTATTTATTAGCTTTTCTATATTTTAATTAAAAGTAAATAAAAAAAGTATTGAATTTAATCCTACTAAAATATTTCACTTACACTTGATTAAAAGAAACAAACACAAAAGCTATAATAAAAACACTTGAAAATTAAGTATATGACAAAATAAACTTGAAAAACTCTTGAAATTCTTATCTAAAATTTTTATAATTCCAGTAAAATTAAAATCATCAGTATCAAGTTGTTTATATAAATTCATATTTAGCATGTTCTAATAAATCCCTGGCGAGTTTAAGCTCGCGGTACATTGGCCTGTTCCTGTCCCTGGCAATAATCCTGATGATTCTATTAATTTAAATTAATTTTATATATTCAGAATTATTCTACCAAAAAATAAAATAATATCAAAATGGGCATTCTAGGCCCCTGGTTCTTAAACTTATTAATTTCTGTGTGCTTCACATCAATCAGTGTATTTCTATTCATAAAAACTGATTTTGAATTTATGATCTATTATGACTTGGTTCGCTTAAACTTTTGGGCAGCTAATTAAAAATAATTTTCAGTTAACTATTATTTTAATGATTCTATCAATTATATTAATTATGGATTTTCTACGTAGAATGAGTTTGGGACTTTTACCAAAATTAAGCAGTCCTTTAGTTATCCCTCACCCAACATATATTTGTACACTTGTCCTTACTTTGACTGTTACATTGGGTTACGGCTATATTTTTGTAAGTTTATTCTTTTATCAATTTGAAGCATGACTATCTTGAAATACTAACAAAATTTTAGGTTTATAAATTAGCTCTATATGGTTGTGATAGGGCTGTAGAGGCAAGAGATCCATTACAAATGACTTTAGATTCAATATTAAGATTAACAATAGCCTTATATTCTCTGGTTTCCTTCATCTATATAATACAGCGGTTTGGATTTCTAAATGGTATAAATTTAAAATTAAATTTTAAAGAGCTCATGTTGGCTCAGTTAAAACAAAAATTGATTTAGTCACTAGAAATTTTATCAACTGTGTTTTTGGCATTATTTGGATGCGTTTTGTTATGTTAAAGGCTTATTTTACTATCGAACAATTCTGTCGTGATCAAATTGAAATGATGTCGATTGTTAAAGCCTTTTGCCCTCCGTATATGTAAGTTTAAATATACTCGATTTTTCGGTTCCAAAATTTTGAAGGCTCCTGTTTCCAGACAAATTCACGGTTCAGGGATCGGAACCCGCTGTTATGGCATTTAAAATTTTTTCAAGCTTAATCCTAACTTTAATATTAGAAAGAAAGGCTTCAATTGCACAACTGTATCTCTACGTAAAGAACAAATGATATGGTACAGAGTTCATTATGGACTTCTCAAATCTGTTGTAGTTACTGCTGCTTCAGAATTTATTCCTGTACTTTTAGTTGCTCATTGGTATTTTAGAATCTAAATTTTCATTAATTTATTTGAATTTTTATGTTGGCATGTGGTAGAGCTGAATTGGTAGTTCGCAAAATGACTGTTAAAATTAATGTAAATTTTTAGTTTTTTAAAGTGTAAAATAATCTCGAATATTATGAGATTAACCGTAAATTTTTAAATGATCTTATCCTTCTTAAAGAAAAATTATATGGATCCATTTATTAGAGGGTAGTGAATTATGGGGATAGGCACAAGACTGGAGCTTTTATTGGGATTTAAAATAATTGGGAACTGACTTTAAAGCCTCAGAGTTTCCTGTTTATAATTTAATTTTTAGACACTTAATGCAATCAAAAAATTTTCATTGAAGAAATTTTCTACAGTAACTGGTAGGGTATATATTTGACAGTACTATTAATGAAACCTTAAATAAATTTTTTAAATTAGATTCAAATACGACATCTACTAACGAATTTCTTTTTCTAAAAAACACTTTGATTCAAAGAATATTTCGTTTATTAGCTTTATGTTTGGGATTTACTGGAATATCCCTTTGTATGCTTTCCTTTTTTAACTATGTAAATGATTTGGATGAAAGCCCTCAAGTTTTTACTCAGGATGCCGTGGAAGTTTTTCTTTCAATAATGAAGCTTTGCTTCTTTGTTTTGGTAAAATTGTTTTAAAGAAATTTTGAAATTTATTTTTAAAAGGGGAAGGATTCAGGATTAGATTCCAACCTGTGTCCAAATAAAAATAAGGCTCAATTTGTGCCAGTATATTGGATATAGGAATTTTTGTGGGGAAATGTTAAATCCAATAACTTGATTTACAAAACACGAAAGTTCTGTTTAAATTCAAATAATTTTAATTGATAGCTATTTACCTGGATACGCCGAATTCCTCCTCGATTACTTGATTTACATAGACAAGCTGAATCTCGTGGTGATAAAGTATTGATACTTGGTTCCGTTCTTTTTCTTACAGCTGAATGTATATGTGAAATTATGGAATTACTTTTCTTTTCTTTCCGAAATAAACGTGTTTATTTGGCAATTAAAATTCTTGATATTCTTTATAGTGTTAATAATTTGGTTGGTTTTTAATTTTCGAGTATTTAGAGAGTAATAAGTTCTCTCCAACGGCATAAAGCCTAAGCCGTGCCAAGCCATATTTCACTTTAATTTTCAGGCCTCTAATTTCCTTGAAGCCTTTTGCCTAATGAAATTAATTGCACTTAAAGATAACTTCCTCAAAGAATTAAGTGCCATTCTTCCATTTATTGCAACTTGTTGCACGATACTTAATTTGACAGATTTTGCGATGACTTATTTCTATATCGAAACGGAAAAGCATCATTTAAAGGTATTGAATTACCTAACATTGATCATTGCTTTATTAGGGTATAATCGAGAGTCTTGAATCTAGCGAGTTTTTTGTGCTAGTTGGAGTTATTGGAAGGCTATTGGATACAGCCAATTATTTATACACATTCACTTGTGCTCTTTGTTGGATAGACATTATTATCCGGTTAAATTAAAATTTTTTTTATAATTTCTTTAAAAATTCAGTTATCGCCATTTTGGACTCTTTATATTAGGCAACAAACCAAAAACTAATTTGGGAAGGACGAATTATGCATCTGATGGTGAAGAATCAGAAACTCAATGCTAATTTTTCTAATTTTTAAATGTCGTATAAGCTCAAATAATTACCCAGAGTAATTACTGTTTAGCCACTAGAGGGATGTGTAACTTAATAGGAGGGACTTCAATGATTTGGCACTATACATATTTATTATCGATATTAAAAATTATTTGAGAATATACTGAGGATTCGTTAATTAGACTTTCTAAATAAATTTAAATCCTGAAAAAAAGTTTTTTTTAAAAATTAAAACCTAAAAATTAATTCACTTTGTTTGCTCTAATAAGCTGTCAGGAGGTTTTTTTGGCTCACATGCCAAATTTCAAACTATATATGAACGTTTGTTTGCGTTTTGTTGGAGGGGATATTTTATTACCAAAATTAGAAATTTCATAGTTTGTAAAAATTCAAAAGTCATCTAAATTTGGTAAAATCCATTATCACGAGAGGTATTCCATAGTAAATTGTTTGTTAAAGTTTTACACAAGCTCCACACAACTCCGACTGATTTTACACAAACTCCAACTGATTCAAACAATAGCCAGTAAATTATGGCGCAGAACATTTATGAGTTAAACTTTGAGATAAATTGCTGTATTATTTTATCTCGTTGATTTCTAATTTTGAGAAATATTTAATAAGGATGTTCAAGGAGTGAATTTTTAATTAAATAAAGTTTTGAATTGAATTCAGAATAATGAATATTTTAATGAATATTTGAACTAATAAATATTTTGTACCATGGATTCTTGAATCCACAAAATGCTGGACATTAGAAGCAATACAAGTTCTTGAGCTCCCAGGCTTCACGGCTTATTTAATTTTCTCAGGTATATAAAAATCTTTGCGCCATAACGCCACAACTCATGATATTCTGAGTATATTACTTCAGTTAATCTTCTCTAAATTTAAAATATAAATTTTTTTAAATTTCGCTGGATTTTTATTAAATATTTGCTCACCTGCATTTAGCTTGGATTTTATTGGAAAAGTAATGGATGAATTTAAAGCCACTCGTTCTAAGCATTTCCAACCCAAAATGCAGTATACTCAATTTTTTGTTCAAGCTTTTGCTTTCCTTGCGTTAAATAAAATATGTTATTCCGCTGAAGCATCAAAACCTAAATATTTATCAATTGAGGGATTTCAAAACTGTACTGGGAGGTAAATCGTTTAAAATTAATACTTAAAATTAAAAATTATTTCTAATATTTAATTAAAGCAAGACAATTGGCACGTACCAAATTTATTGTCTTCCTGAGATACAAAATGGATCTTGTACTAACTCTTCTTGGGAGGCGCTTCATGTAAATTAAAATTTTTAAATTTACAAAATATAACTCTGGATAAAATACAATAGAAGGATAGAAAAATATTTTCTGAATTTTTAATGGACAGAAAATAATTTTTTCATATCCATTATCGTTAATTTATATTTTTAAATATAGAAACTAAATAGCAGTGATTCATTGCAACCATGCGAAGACAATGGAAATACTATTAGTAACTAAAATCCTAAATTAAAAAATTTTTCAATTAAAAGGTTATGATACAACTACAATAAACGCTAGCACAGACAATGGAAATGAAGACACGACTGTAACAATGAAGATGATAATGACAAGGAAAAGAAAGGTGTTAAAGAATTCAAAAAATTGTTGAAAAAACTTGGCGGACTTCTCAGCAAGCTTGGCCATCTTTTGGGAGTTAGTTCAAAGGATAATGTAGGGGAAGATTCGTGAATTTACACGAAGTTTATTGGAAGAATTTTTTTTATTTTTTAAACATTTTGGGAGAACTTATCTTCATTGAAGATGGAATATGCCTTTTAAAATAACTATTGTAACTCCTATAGTGACAAGATACAATCTGTGATTCTATTCCAAAATTAATTTCGAGTAATATCGAATATAATGTTATAATCCAATAACCAAAGGATGACTCGAACCCGATCCGAAAAATTTTCCAAAACCCAACTCGACTTCTTTCCCTCTTAATCTCCTAACAGGCCTGATTCGAAATCCAACCTGTGGCCCGAAACCCGGACTTTTTTCGATTCTAAACCGACCTTACTTTTTCTCAACCCTTGACAACCTGGTATAATCCTGTCACTATAATAATGGGTATTTTAATATAATTAAATATCAAACATAAATATTATTATTATTACAGTCGGATTTCAGTTAGTATGAGTAATATTTAACTTTTTCATAACTATACCATTTTACACCCAAAGGGCATATATTACATAAAAGAGGTCCGACTGTAGTAAATACGATATATTAATAAAATGTCATGCTTAAAGTGCAGATTTATTAAATCAATTGCAACTTTATTAAATAAATAAATATCGTATATTTCCGTCGATTAAGATAAAGTTCAGACAATGATGCAATTTTATCTAATATTTCATCAGATTATCCAGAGGATATGACGAAAATCTAGCCAATTTTTGCATTATTTAATTCATTATTTAAGGCTCCAGGCATTAAGCATATTATTTACATTCATTATTTTATTAATAAAAATTTTCTTTTCATGAATAAATAAATATCGATCAGAATCCCGATCTGTTCGTGATCGTTCAAGTAGATCGTCAGAAGCCAAATCGTTCGGAATCCTGATCAGAATCTCGATCCGGATATTTAAATTTTCCACTCATATCAGAACGGATCCAATGAGAATCCGGGATTATCCGGTCGGACACATTATCTAGAAAATTTTTTACTAACATTTAGATTCAATGAATTACATTAAATTCTATTTACGAATTTTTTTCTTGATAACATGCTCAAATGTTATTTCATGTAAGCGATTGTATTTGTTAAGTAGATTTATTCGTAATATTTAGCCCTTTTAAAAATGCCAACCGAAAACGGGGAATCTAAAATGTTGGTAGAAGACGAGAAACAAGATATGGTTTATCTAATCATCTTCCCACGAATTTCAACAACTCCGCACCATTGGACAATGTGTTTGAAAATTGAAAGCTGGTTAAAGCTTACTGGCATTCGATTTTATGTATTATACTTTATATGAGTATATTAAAATCCTTTATTAATATTTCAGCGTATCTCCAATCAATTTTTACTTGGCTCTCCGGATTCTGGGATAGCTCCATTTGTTCAGTTCAATGGAAAATATTATGAAGGATTTGATAATATAAAAGAAGCGGTTAAACATTTAGGAAAGAAAAAGCTCCTAGAAGATGATAGGGAAAAGGAGATAAGTTCGATTTCTGAAAATTATTTATTGAAAATATTAACAAAGGATAAAACAACGAGGCATCGAAGAATAGGAGGCAAAAAATCAGGGGGATTGGACTATCTAATTAAAGATAATGGTGTCCGTGCACAATTTTTCCAATCACATCCCCAACTTTTTGAATGGAGATGGCAAGAGATTGTTTTAAATAATGATAAAAAAATTAAATTTGAAATGGGTTTTGAATTTTGGAATGAATTTTTTGGAATAGAGAGAGGAATAGAAAATCAAGAAGTTAATGAGAAGGAAATTTTGAATTTCATGGAGAAGCATTTAGTGATTATTTTAGGTAGTGATGTGAGTAGTGATGGAGTTGGAAGTTCTAATTATTCGTATAGTGACGGGACTGAGGGTTATTCTCATTCTTTGAATAAGGAGATAAATAATGAGTATTTATGGAATTTGGATGATTGGCAACATTTCTATGAATGGATGGATAAATTTGTTGAAAATAAGTTGGAAGAATATTTCACTAAAGAGAAGAACAGCATGGAAGGGAAGGTTGGGGAGATTAATTTTAAGATTGATAATAATAATATCATCCATATTCAGCTTCGAGAATATTTACAAAAACATTTATGGGATCAAGTATCTGATGAAAAAATCTATGAAAGTTTTGAAAAAATAATACAAAAAATAGTAAATATGCTTGGTTCTCAAAAATTTTTGTTTGGTGATCAGCCTAGTCTTGTAAGATTAAAACTAAAAAATTTTTCCAATGATATTTTTAGGCAGATATCTCGTTATTTTCTATTTTGGTTCAATTTTTTGAAGGCCATCTAAATATTCCGGTAATCAAGCACTTTTTCCTTAAAAAGGGTGAAAAGCCAGAAAGAGAGGACATTGAATCTATTGGTAAAGCAATAGTTATTGAACAAGGATCGAAAAGTAATTGTGAGATTGAGGAAGAAGGCCCAAGTTTTATCGAAAATTGTGGGGAAATGGAAGGAAATGATAAATATATTGATAAAAGAATTGGACTTCTTCATAGTTATGTCGAACGGATGAAGGAGAAAATAGGCCTTGGTTCATTCAAATGGATCAACTTAACAAGATACCCGTGGCCTTTAAATTATGAAGAGATTGATTACATGACAGATAAATATTCAGGCAAGTCGTTAAATAGAAGTAAGAAAAATTTTTATCCTCAGGTTTCTTTCATCTTGAAACAGATGATATGAGTTCCTTTGTTGATCAACTCGACAGCAATAAATGGACGGATATTGCCAAAACAATTTTACATAAAAAACCAAATAAATGGATAAATATTAAAAATATTTATCACGGGAAAAATCAACCCAAGATTGAAGAAATAGACAAACACTCCCGATTAATCCTAAAAGAAATTCTAAATTATTTATCAGTTTTTTGGCCTAATAAGAATGATGAAGATAGAAAAATGTATGGAAAAATAATTCTTCACTCAATTGCTGCTGCTTATTGCAATTTGGGGAAAGGTAAAACTCTTGAGGATGCAAATAAATGCCAAAAAATGCATAAAAACAAGGCTCTAGATCTGAAACAATATGTGGTTGATGATGCTGGAAAGAGTGCCTTTAATGAGAAAGGGGGCTATTTTCGTTCAGCCCCATCGGTTAATACGAAGGAAATTAAAGAAAATATAGATTTTCACGTTAGAAGTTGCTTAAAGATTGCTTATGAAACAATACAAAAATATAATGAAAATGGAATTGTTAAAAATGTAGAAGAGGCAATTAATAAAGCTTGGATTATTAAGAAGAACGAAGGAAAAGATTCAGATAATAAACAAGATAACCAAGAAATTTAGCTTACTTTTGTTAATAAAGGATTAAAAATACGCATTATTACCGCCTGATTACCCCAACTGATATGGACGTTAATCATTGAACTTTTGAGGAGTATCGCCTTGGGTGGGGAGATTATTCCAGGTATATCCTAGGTATCCGTTCATCCTTTCGCAATTAATAATAAAATTAATTTGTTTTACTAACTTTTATTTTCATTAAATTTAAATAACAATGAGTAAGAAACAATAATAAAAATGAAAACAAAATGAGAAAAAGAAATAATTGAGCAAGTCCAGGCAAACCCCAATTTTTGAGCACCAAACCCTCCGAGTATGTTACCAGCAAACGATCTGAAATTATTCTGTTTATTTAAAAAAAGGTTTAAAAACCCTAGAGTTGAGGATGACTGGACTAATCCGAACAGACAAGCATATATTCGGGTCGATTCTTCATCCGACGATTTTGAGATATCCGAGCAAAGTTGAAAGACGGGAATATATAAAGCAGCAGATGCGCAGCCCAGCAGTGCAAATGAAACGCTAATGAGTGGAATAGTCTTTTGGATTGGTAAAAGAGGGAATGGCCCCATCAAAAATGTTGATAGAAAAGCTAATATTGACCCAATTATTGTAACAATTATGGCAGAATTTTGACATTTCTTTTTATTCAATCCCATAAATAATCCCCATATTGGAGCGCTCATAAAGTAGCTGATACTCATTATAGTATAGACAGTGCCAATGATCACTGCGGAAGAATTTAACTATAAAATGTGGATTTAGCTGTATAAGCAAGCCTTTTTATAGATTTACCGAGTTTAAATGTTCTGGCAAAGGTGCCTGAAAGAAAGAACAAGTAATCCCACGAGTAGTTATCACTAACATAATAAGCCATGTACTGGGTAGCTTAAGAACTGATAAAAGTCCATTATTCGATGAATTAATATCCTTGTTAGTCTTATTTATTTTTGTATTAGAACTACATTTAGAAGACTTTGATAATGCTTCAAAATCAGAGGAATTGGAAGATTCTTCAGATAATTGTCCAGATTTTTGTGGATAAATTAAGGAAATATTTTTGAAACTTTTTCCATGTTTTCCTCCTTTATTATCTTTGTTTTTCTTCAACTTTGTGGTGAAGGCAAAAGCTATTCCAGTCAATGCCATTAATGTTCCAAAAGTGAAATTTGGAGTTATAAACCCCCCAAATTCGAATAAGATACTTCCTATTACTGGCCCTGAGATGTATCCAAAACCAGCAAATGCTTCAAGTAGGCCCTTAAAGGTTTTTAAATAGTTGAAGGATGTTAAAAGAATATACCCCCAAAAGTGAGATGTTTGCAGGAAAAAGTTGTGCCATAATAGTCAATGAACTTATAACAAAAACGGTTCTAGCAAGTGCCTGAATGATCCGAATAGCTAAGGAAGCCCAGAAGAAATAAAAACCGTTTGGTAATAGGGTAAGTAATCTAAAAATAAAGTAAATTGTTATTAAAATTATATTTATGATTTTAAAGTACCCAAATCCAAAAGCTGTAAATGCAGTTAAGAAAAGGCTAAAAAAGAAAGCCTTTGAAGTTCCAATACTCATTATCTTAATATTTTTAAAATTAATTTAAATTTAATTTAATATATTTACATATTTTCCAGTAAAAGGTGCCATTATAAATCTACTTAATTGATATGTACCAATAATTAAACCAATATCACCAGTATTTATTTGTCTTTTATTAGCCTAATAAATGATATAATTTAATCAGAAATAATTGAAAGTGTGCCCAATTTTAAAATTTTTTTAGAAAAAATGTTAAGGAGTGTGATCAAAAATTATTAAAGAAACCCGAAGGTAGCCGCACTTCTTTTGGATAAAAAGCATCCATGCAATTGAAAGTTATTGTGTTAACAAAATTAGCAATTAAAAGTGTAGAAATTATTGCCCATTCACGATGAGTAAATATTTTAAAGAAATTTGTATTTAATTTTAATAAATGTTCAAACATTAGTTATCTAAATTACGAGTTTAATAGTATAATTAACGCGCACTGTAGCTTTTAGTTGATAATCATTATATGTATTTTCGAATTTGTTTCAAAGTCCCGAGTTTGAACTAAGTTACTAATTTAATTCAAGTAAACACTAGAAAGTTTTTAAACAACAAATTTATCTTAACAAAATTTTTTTCAATATTATAAGGTAATAATAAAGTAAAGCGGTTGGTCCCGTTCCCCAGTGCCTCGTTGTTCAATTGATGTTATAGGCAGAGTCGCGCATGTTGCAATCATGTGTGAACTCCGCAGAGTATAGAATAAGTTAATCGCTCGCAGTGGGGGAATATAAGGGGAGACGTCTCTCCCTTTACACGATGGATAAGCCGGCAGGCAACTCTGTTGAAGGAATGAAGAAGTGATCTGCCTTTGCCTATTCCATTAGAGCTTATAAGCACCAGCCTATTTACTAATCGCTTTCCCAAGGATAAGTTAGTGGCGATGTTAAGCTTAGATAATGGGCGGCTAATAACTCTCTGGGAATGGCCGTTTGTAATATTCTTTCCTTTTCTCTGGGAACTTCCGCTACTTAGCACAAAGTTTATAGCGACATTATCGTTCACGTGATTTCAGGATGAACCCAGCCTTACACCTCTAACCTTCCAATAGACCGTCCCTGGTCGTTAAGATTTGACCATCCTCTACACCTCTAACCTTCCAATGGACCGTCCCTGGTCCTATTTTTGTTTTGTTTTATATGAATCCCTCAGGATTTAATTTTTTTGTAAAATATTAATTCATTTTTTTTCACATGTGAGAGTCCCGCAGGACTTATATTTAGAAACATGAATTAATAGTTTGCGTAACGTTCAGAGAAAAAAAATTTTGAACTTAACGTGATTATGAGGTTTATTGAGATTTTCCCTTGATACTGAGGATTTGACAGAATCAAGTTTGAATATGAGATCTACTTCAATTCTATAATTCTTTATTTTATTTATCTTTAATGAACCCCTCAGGGTTTGTATTAATGAATCCTGGCGCAAGCTGAAATTTTAAAGAGCTAGACGCAGCGAAGGATTGGAAGAACAGAAGGCCTTTTTGTTAAGATCAGTTTTTGTAAAATTAAAGCGATAGTAGTAGCGGACTTAATTTTGTGACAGGAACGCGAGACATTTTTGTTTTTGGATTTTATTTTTGAGTTAATGAAAGAATTTAAAATATTCAGACGCATGCAACAAGTATAGCGCGTCGTATTATTTGCGTTTATTTAATTTTAATTATTATTCAATTGAACCCCTCGGGGTTTTGTAATCAGATTGTGGATAAAAACCCGTTCTTAATCTTTTTCAAGGGTTTCCATATTTTTAATTTTGAAATATGATTATTCACATATTTAAAACAACCTATACACAGGATCACTAATCCTAACTGGAATTGATACCTCTGTGGTTAGATGCCTCAGTGGTTTGTTGTTAGTTCATTCATTTTGCTGACAAGGTCGTTTAATATTTCACCTTGTTCTTTAAGCATTTCTTTGATGATGAGTTGTTCTTCGTCAACTTCTTCCAGAGTTGGATAATGTTCCTGGTTCTGTCGTTTCCTACAATTGATCTCAAAATGACCTACCTTGTCACAATAGTTGCATATTGGTTGGTTGTCCCATCGACCATAGTTATGAGCTGATTCACCTTTTAATTTGCAAGAACCCCACGGGGTTTTAGTTTTGAAATCTTCATTCAATTCTTCTTCATATGTTAATATATTGCGTGATGTGCCTTGATCGGTTATCGAGCATAGCGGACTGAACGTAGCTTTTGTGTTGGCACATAGCATTAGCTCTGCCTCCTGAGCATTTAGAAGTAGGGTGTCGAAATTATTTCTGTTAGGCCCAGTCAGAGTTCTTGTGAGAAATTGAAGATTTGGGCTAAGCTTTTCTAGGAAGGTTCGACAAAGCACTTCTTCCGAGGCATTTCCTGTGTGGTCTGTAGAAGTTGCTTCTATCATAGGAATTAATCTCGAAGCAAATTGCTCTACTAATTCTCCTTCATTCTGTTTGCATATGCTTAGAGCTTTGAAGATTAGCTCACGATTTTGTGTTGTATCTAAAGTGAGGTTTACACGTATTGGGCCACCCAGTAAATTAAATGAGGCGAGGTATCGACACCGTGAGGGCTACTCTATCTTCAAATACAACGTTGTATGTGCTCCGTTAGAAGCAAAGCTTAGGCCCTAATTGTTGCGCATAAAATAATATTTATTTAAATGTAAAATTTAAAATCGCGATTGAATAAAGTAAAGTTAAAGCTAACAAAATTATTAATAATATAATTGATTATAGAGTCGACATTGAATAACAAAAGAGAACGTTCCCGGGAAAAGAAATTTAGCGCTTATTAATAAACAATTAGCTAGCGTCGCTGCTCTCCGACAAAGTGATCGCTTTTCTTCTCCCGTTGGGCCCAACTAGACTGATCCCCCTCAACTGTTTTCCCATGCATTAAATAATCCTATCCTTATCCTTATAGGGCGTGTGCTTAAGTGTTCTTCCTGCTTGTCAAGGACAAGCACGGCCTTACACCTCCAACCTGGGGGAAGACCGGACCCTCGGTCTTGAAGACCGCTCTTGATGCATTGAATGTGGGCTACGAGAAAGTGCACTTTATTGTGTCTTTTCTTTGAATATTTTTTCAAGTTTTTTTTTTTGTTTTTTTTTTTTTTGGAATTTTTTCTTTTTTTTCGTATTTATTCTAATAGACTTAACATTTTCGGCTGCCATTTTAGGTTATATTACACCTGTCCGAAGGGTTGGTAAACGAGTCAGCCCATTAGAATAAATCTACTATGTTTACATTGTTTTTTTTCAAGATTTATCGATTAATGCTTTCTTCTTTTCTTGTTTTTCTGTTGATTGAGAAGGTTGTTTTTTTCATTTTTCTTTTGATGATTGTACTGGGCCTGTGTTGGTGCCTAGTTGTTTTTTTGGTTTCTCTGTTGTTTTTCAATTCTATCTGCCTTCAACCTTATCGAGGACCGTCCCTGGTCCGTTAAATGATGATTGCTTTTTACATGTTTTTTTTTGAACTTTCTGATGATTTCTTTTCCTTTTCCTTTTTTTATAATGCGCTTTTATGTTTTTATTTATGGTTCGGAACTCGCCTTCGGCTTTTGTCCTCTTCCATTTTATTTTTAACTTTTTTCTTGCAGTTTTTGTTGAAAAGTTTGTCTTTTGATGATTTGTCTGAGAGAGTTGTTTATCTTTGGTTAAATTGTATCTTTGCAGGCCCTGTTGTTTTTGGGTTTTTGTTGCATTAAGATCGTTGTCAGGTAAACAATTACAATGAAATTACAATCATGCGGGTCAGGGAACAAGATTTATAAAACCCTTGTACCCAATGCATCTTTTAAAGTGTCCCTTTATGGTAGGAGATGTTAGACCGTTAAATTACTCGGTTCCTTTTTTTAAAAAATTTGCTGCGCGTGCATCTATATAATGCGTCGCTTGTCTTTCGGGGTTTTTCACCTGTGATTGCTATTCAATGTCTTTTCAAATTTGTCCCAATAAGTTTATGTTAGTGACAAAAAATAAGTATTTAGAGGCTGTGAGTAAAGTTACAAATCTAGAGGCTAAGACAAAGTCTTCTAGAGGCTAATGATCAAGTGTACATTTGCTAGAGGCTGTTAAAGTATGTGTTACAAGAGGCTATTACACTAGAGGCTAAAGTAAAGTTATGAAATATTTTTTTTTAAATCCTCTTATCTTCTGTACATGCAATTTATTTTCGTGTGTCCCTGTTGTCCACACCAAGAGCACGGCGCATGAGGGCAGTTGTCTCTTTGATGTCCCATTATGTAACAATATCCACATGGTCGTCGTGGGCACTGTCCTTTCAAATGAGGAGCTATTCCATGACAAACCATACAAGGAGAGTAGTCACAAATGTCTTCGTGCACATTCGGGACAATCGAATGACAGCCACTGCACTGTGTCACCTGTGGGACGTTAGAAGGCAAAGGGACCCCTATTATTTGTTTTTGATAAATTCCCCCTATTACTGGTCCACCTGACTGTTGAGGGTGTTGGAATTGATGCTGTGGCGGTTGTGGCATCTGCACTGGTTGTGTCCATTGAGGTTGGCTCCCTGGAGGTGCAGTTGAGGTTCCATAATATCCTTGATATCCACCTGAAGCCGGTGTTTGTGTTGAGGTTATCTGTACAGGCTGTATGGCCTGTCCGCTAGTAGATTGGGTGCTCTCGCACTCCATTGCTTGTTGGGTCTGTGGTGGCTTTCCAACTAAATTACTATCAACTTTCATTTTTTCGTAAAAGTCCCACGCGATTGGTATCTCACCTTTATAATCGGCAATTACCCCATTCACCCTTTGACTATTACCAGCCTTCATTAGCTCAATGAACGCCGGCGTCACTACCACTGTTTGTTTACATGCCTCGAGGACAAATTTCTCCCAAACTTCTCCTTTTTGGCATAGGAATGGTAAGTCCCCAATCACAATTAACCCGTAACGGGCCCTGGACAACGCCACATTAGTCCTACGCGGATCAGACCAAACCAAACCCTTTTCCTCCTCACTAGATTGCTTCTGTTGCACACTAGTTTTGGTGGTTGTGAGAATGACTAGATCCGCCTCTTGTGATTGTATTGCGTCACAAGTCGAGCAAGTGACATTTGACCAATTATACTCTTTAATAGCTCTCCTAAATGTTTATTTTGTGTGAATTTTTGGATTACTAATGCTTCGAGTATTTGTTCACTCTTTTCATTCCATTCCTCCCTTTGTTTTTTATTACCTTCTATTTCTTTACCTAGAAATTTATACTCTCTTGGGTGAACACCTTTGAACGTTGTTTGCGCCCCGTTAGAGGCAATAATTTTCCTACTCTTATTTGTTAACTCACTCACCTCATCCATGTGAGTCATCCCTTTCACATGATTCAGAATATCCCCACGATTGAAAAAGGCTGCCTTGGCTGCTACATATGCTTGTTCAGTGCAGCC